TTTCTAGAGAGAAGTGTATATTGTAGGGGTGTAACGGTATCCGTATTCGTCCCGTACCGTCACGGTTCAGACGTCACGGTTCGGCACGCAGTCACACGACGAATACGCCTTTTTTTTACGAGTGGGAAAAAAGTCTGTCATTGAGGGCAGTATCCATTACACTATATATAATCCAGGGGGCGGTATTGCGCCTAAAAGCTGTTTGCCAGCCGCCCTTAAACAACAAATGAAGAACAAGAAGAAAACACAACAAAACAAACAAAATACAAGATGAAGAAAAGTTAGTATGGCGATTTCAGATAACACAGGAGCTAGAACCCACCTGCTTCTTTTAAATCAGCTGTGTGGGAACATTTCGGGTTCCCTGTGGACTACAATAACGATGGAGTGGTGCGAGTGGTGGATCGGACGAGTGGTGGATCGGACGAGGACGGTGTGTCACCGTTGTTCTACAGTGGTGCGGTATGCTAATGGTAACACACGCCAAACATGCTAAATCATATCAGAAGGCATCACCCAGATTTGCAATCACCGGAGCCCGGCAAAAGACAGCAGCAGTTCAACAGCTGATCCCCGCTGTTTTTAAGAAGCCAATAGACATGAGAGCCGAGAGACCAAAATAAATAACGGAAGCTTTTGGCATATGTTTTTCAACGACTTTGCGCTCTTGAAACACGTTCTTATTATTTATGATGTAATATTTTCAAGACATTCTTTTTAGTTTTACAGTTTGATGAAACCTTTTTGTTTGACATCAGCCATTATAGATAATATGGCCATCTGAGTGTACTGTGTATGGTTTGTTTTTAACTGTTTAATACAGTTAATTATTCAAAATGTCAGAGTTCTTTATTTTTAAACTGAAACTTGCACTACTGTTCAAACATAAATAACAACAAACCTGGAATTATGCATTTGGGACTTTTTTTTGCTTTTTCTTGTTGTACCGAACCGTACCGAACCGTGACCTCCAAACCGAGGTACGAACCGAACCGTGACTTCTGTGAACCGTTACACCCCTAGTATATTGTACTTTTATAATCTACGTCCAGTGGATGTGTAGGATCTACAGTTTGATAGATATACGAAGATGATTTGAGGTCTCGCCAGGAGAACGTGTACTGTATATGGGGCAGCTTCCATGTAAAGTTAGCGTGGGTGAAAACAGTATTTCCGGTCTCGAAGTTTTCATAATAAAACCGGAAGTATTCCCCACACTGTCAAATGATTACACAGTGATATCTCCATTACTCATCCACTAGAAAACATCAGTTTATCCTTGTTAATTACACAATATTGATTGGTTTAAATTGTGTACAATGCTTTTGTGTTTTTAACCTTCGATTCGGAGAAACAAATAGTTTTTTCGGAGTTTAGACACTACAGAGTTTCCGAAGACACTACACTACCCAGAATCCCCAGCTACCGTTTGGGACTACAACATCAGCCTTGCTTTACAAACCCCGTGATTAGCCCTCAAGCTCTGTGATTGGATGTTGGAGTGGCAGTGCGACAAGGTTACGCCGAGTGTCAAACAGCTCTTTGAAATGGAATGGAACCACGCCAGACTATCCAAAACTGGACTTGGACGGGTCCAGCCCAGCACCCCCCCCCATCCCCCCCAGAATTACACATGCTGGCTATTGTGTGTTTCGCAACATGTTCTATGGCACGTCTCTACTGGGAATTGTAGATTTAAAAGACATTTTCGTATTTCCCACAATTAGAAGTTGCCAGTATTAAACTGTATACATCCCTGGAGGTTTAGGGGATACGAAACACATTGGTGTTATCAAATTTAAAACATATAATTAATACATGGGTGAAAATGGCTTGTGTGGGCAGCATTAATATACCCACATGACAGCTAAGGTCAGAAGAGCTTAATTTAACAGCTGGTCTTATGTCTGTGACCCCTCCTGTTGTTAATTGATAAGCCTGAAACATGCACTTGTCAAGGTTCAGATGCACATTTAGCAAATATGGCAGTAGCCATCGATCATCTTAAGATAAGATACTTTATTGATCCCAAGTTGGGAAATGTTTTTGTTACAGCAGCATGTACTACTTTGTTCTACTCCACTACAATTCAGAGGTTAACCTGGAATTTTTACTCTACTACATTTATTTTTGTTACTTTTCAGATTCTGATTAATGATGTGAAATATAAACAACCCTTAAATCAGACTTTAGTTACACCTGAGTAAAATTCAGCCTTATCAGTTTGTCTGTTTTGCACATCCTCCTGTTAATATCTTTGGACGTCCTGCACTAAACTGTTTTATTGTAGAGATCACTACAGTATCTTCTTGATATTTTCTATTCTATATTTCTATCATTGACCCCTATTTTGTATGAAGGCTACTCTTAATATTTAAATGTTTTCATCAAATATAACTTATTCAACAACTACATTCAATAACGTGCTTTAACCACTAGGAGGTGCGGTTTAAGAAACCAGTGGTCTAGTTAATAAAACATAATAATATCAAACATAATATGACTATTCACTTTATTGTGAAATTAAAACAGAACGGTAAAGGAAAATACAGTTTCAGTCTCTCGATGTGAAGCTTATGCATTGTACCATGAACTTGTATAGACCTGTAACAGTCAACTGCATGAGGAGTTGGAAAGGTAGTTCAGAAAATCAGTAATATCTTTAAAAACTACAAAAAAGTCCCTTTCTATCAGCTGTGCACCGTTATGGTGTAAATACAGACTATCTACTAATTGGATCAAATATAAAAGTCAGCCGAATTAGTGTTGATACTGCAAGGAGACGTATTGTGTGAAAAGAAATGGAAGATGTTGTTTAATTGTTGATATATTTATGGTCCACGTCACGTATTCAGTTTTGGCGGCATCTCTTCAAGTTTGTCAAAAGGTCTTCTGATCAGGGCTCTATAAATAAATATCTACGGCAGATATGTCATATTTAATGCAGCCGAACCGTGTATTACAATGCCGTTATGTGATGACTTCCAAAGAGAAAAGCAAGAACACTCGGAATAAAGTATTATTTAATTTTTTTTTAAATGTTTTCCGATTTCATATCACATAAACACCATATCCCGACGTGCATTGTGGCGTGATTTTAGCCTATCAAAACCTCTGAAAAAAGAAATGTGTCTCTCAGAATCGAAAGAGAAAAACCTATGGGAAAAACACAAAAGCATTGTACACAATTTAAACCAATTAATGTCATATAATTAACAAGGATAAACTGATGTTTTTTAGTGGATGAGTACTGCAGATATCACTGTTAAATCATTTGATCATTGGTTTTATTATGAAAACGTCGAGACCGGAAATACTGTTTTCAACCCGTAACTTTACATGGAAGCTTGCCGCATATACACATTCTCCTGACGAAACCTCAAATCATCTTCGTAATATCTATCAAACTATAGATCCTACATATCGACTGGACGTGGATTCTAAAAGTACAATATATACTTCTCGCTAGAAATCTAATCATAAAGCGTTTTAATGGCCAAACTATCCTACAATTTAGGATTTTACAGAGAGGGTTATTTGTGAATAAACAACCCTCTGTAACGTTTGCATTCAACGGGAGCACTAGAGGCCGACAACTTTAAAACGTAATTATAGGTCGTATTAAGCGCTTGAACAATCGACCCATTTGGTCGTATGAGTTGGAGGACTTGTTGTATAAAAGACATACAAAAGTGCATTTTGCATGATAGGTCCCCTTTAAGTATTTTTTAGCTTGCAGGAGCCCTGGCACTTAAGATATGCATTGCCAATAACTAAACTGTAGCTTTTGTGCAAATGACAATCAAGCCTTCTTTGAACCTCTTTTCTTTATGCCTTTGCTCTTTTGTTATAGATGTGCTCTGATCTGCAGGGAATTCACTCCTTCACTCGTCTTTGTTTTGAAGAGGCCATACTAATAATAATAATAATAATAACTTGGATTTCTATAGCGCCTTTCATAATACCCAAGGTCGCTTTACAAGGAAGAACAGGAGTATAAACAAACATAACATAACAAAAGGCAGTCAGACAAAAACAACAAATAGATTTGGGGCCGAAGTCCTTGGCAGACAGATGGGACTTGAGGGCCCTTTTGAAGGCGTCAAGTGTGGGGATGTTGTGGATCTCCGCAGGGAGAGCGTTCCAGAGAGTGGGGGCTGCCATACTGAAGGCTCTATCCCCGAAGGTTCACAGGTTGGTGCGGGGGGCCAAAGTCTGAAGACCGCAGGCTCCGGGGTAGGGCATGTGGGAAGAACAGCGAGCCAGCTAGCAGCTAGCACCATTAGCCTGGTAGAAACCGGACCTCGAACCTCAGCAGCGGTGATGGCAAACCCCCCACTTGAGATGGCAGGACTGAGGGAGGGTTCGTGGGTAGTCCAGGGAGCGGGACAGAGAGGAGCCCAGTTGGCGTATTCCAGAGCGGGGATTCCACGGATAGCAGAGCACGACGGTGAGCTCGTTTTGCTAATGGCAGGACGGCAGAGGCTAGGAACTAAACAGCAGCCAAACATAATCAGCTGAGCAACGGAGATGGCAGAAACACAAAACCAGAGCAGAACAATCTTTTCGCTGTGTATGTGAAAAAGATTTGACGGCAGGGAGTGATAGACATGAGGAATAAGCGTTGGCAAGAAGAGCGGCGAAAAACACGCCAGCGTCCCCTCTTGCCAACTTCCGGCAACTTCCGTTACACTCCGTTATACTATGTTTTTAGATTTGTTCCCCTTTCTTGTAGTGTGTTATATAGGTTTTTCTGCATGTTAATGGTGGGTGTTACCTTGGTTGGTTATTGGCTAATGGTTACACAACCAAAAAAAACAACGTCACAAAGTGGCCAAAATCTGATCAGCTCATTTTCAGACAGGTGATAAATAGATCAGGACAAAAAGAGAGAGAATTTTTGGTTCCAAAAACGTTCAGAATCTCTTTACACAGAGGGGAAACATGTTTGTGTATAAAAGATTTTGCATAATAGGTGACCTTTAACATTCAACACACACCTGAGCGTTGTATTGATCTGCAGGGCTTTGCTGAGCATCTTGGCCCCGGAGTCCTCCAGCTGGTTTCCGCTCAGGTCGACCTTCCGTAGGCAGGCATTGGAGCCCAGGGCGTTGACCATCACTGTGCCCCGCTGACGGAGCCTCGAGTCGGCCAGGGAGAGGGAGTGCAGGGCCTGGGGAGCCAAGATGAGAGAGGATGGGAGATAAATGTGAATTGATGTTTCAAGACGTGACATTAAGCGACGAAAACAATTTAACCCGACATGTATTCCAGGTAGATTATAGATAGCGCTTTCAGTTTCAAAACATCTGTGAAGGGGTCCTTGTTTTAATGATCTCTTCTAAACCTTTCATCCACGTTTTCTTTTATTGATTTTATAAAATCAATAATACAAGAACCTGGATGAAAATCAGAGTTTTTTAAAAACACAATTTTTCGGCTCTAATACGATTGCATTTGAATAATTTATTGTTGTTTTATTTGCTTAGAGAACCCGTTGCATAATAATCATCTGTATATTTGGACTTTTTTCCCCATTCAGGCCTGTGGGGAGATCATGAGTTTGGTCGTGTGTCTGCGTGCTTGTTTCTTACAGCAACTGATCAAGCATATTACGGGACCTCAGCATAATATTTGTAGCTTTCATTTATAAACACTATGCAACTAGAACTCTAGCGGTTGTGATCACTTATAACTTATGGAAATGTATTATGTTTAATATTATCATATTCTTTACTGTCATTGACTGCTGACTATTTGAGTTTCATCTACTTTCTGTTTTCTATTAGCTTTCTGATTTCAGGTGTCTTTCGATTAACTGTGGTTAACCAGTTTATAAGGTGTTTGTTTGTTCAGCTTGTGTGTCTCGTTTGATTGAGCCAGGCCTAATCTTACACGCATACACACATTTATATAGTTAAAGGCTGTTTTGCATGACGTTTTGTTTAGTGTTAGAGAACTAGTGCAGTGAGGTTTTTGTTGTTTGGTTTGTTTAATTAGTATTTACAACACAGCTCCTTTTGTTGTATTATTTTCTTTTTAAACAGCACCCACCAGGCTCTCGTTCTTTTGTTTATTAGAAGCACATTTGTTTGTAACCTTTTAGTTTGAGTTGTTAATAAATAACTTTAATTTCACCAAGAACAACTGGTGTTTGTGTTCATTCCCTTTTGCTTTCAACGTGTTGGGCCTTTACGGCCCGTCCACACGGCGGCGTGCGTTGAAGCTTCAACGCTTCTGCCCATTCACTTTGAATGGGGTGACATCACACTTTGCCGAACTGCATTGTGGGAGCGTTGCTTCGCGTTGCTCGCTTCAAAAGTTGAGCAATGTTCAACTTTTGAAGCTTCGGCGGAAGCGTCAGCCAATCAAATCATATGCCAGTAATAGCTCTAGCCAATCAAACCGCGTGCTTGTGTGTCCGGGGCGGGAGATTCATGTGATTGGTTGTTGGTCGAGTTTCAGACACGCCCGCCGGCAAGCTTCAACGCACGCCACCGTGTTACTCTTACATGTTTACATACTTTAATGTTTGTCGGCTCTGTTGTGATTGGTCAATAATGTACAATGTGTTAGAGTGCTAGCCAATAGAAGCGCCAGTGTTACGTAGTGATGTCATTATGTTAGGGAAGTTAACAAAGGAGTCTAATGGAGGCGTTTTATGCAGGTGGGGGAGTGTGTGGAGATAAACTCTCTGGAGGGATCTTTTGGATTTGAGCCTTTGCAGACTATTTACATGCACACAAACCTATGACACATTACAGGAAAGGGAAAACCCCAAAAACATAAAAGGGCCCCTATAATAGGTGAGATTTAGAGATGCTAGTAGATTTTGTGGGATTACACCAGGCTAACCGTCAGCCTCTAATTACATTTTCTTTGTTGCTAAACTAAGCCAAAGGATTAGAATGGGGCGCTACAACCAAAGCTTTGTCACACGTTAAAATGCTGCTGTATGACTTGTCATTATTTGCTGGTTGAGCTAACTCACAGACTGACTGATCTCTAATAAACTCGGGTTGCACTCAGTCAGAACCTTCACTTCCAGGCACCTGTTACTGCTCTCGCAGACATGCATCAAAGCCTAACTCAGTGCGAGAGCATCATTGTGAGCTACTGTATCACCATCAACAGTGCTATATAATTGAGTAAGCTATTTGTCATGCTGGATCTGCAGAGCGGAGAGCAGAGGGAGCCCCGGGAGCCGCACGTACACACCGAGACCTAATGAATCATCTGGAGAAGCCCAGAGACAACATGACTAGAGAGCATGTTCAGACCCTTTGTGTGTGGCAGGTAGAGACTGGGCCTCAATGACCGAGATGCAATATAAGTCATTACCGAGTGTGGATTTCAGACTGTCCTCCCCTCACAGCATCAGTCCATATGCTGGCACTTCACTTTTTATGTTTAAATATATATATGGTCAAATAATTTACAATATACAGCTGAATCTCATTAAATAAGAATATTGTAGAAAAGTTAATTAACTTAAAAAGGTGTTTAAATTATATTTTATTATTTTATGTTTATTGGAATGTTTCTCCTTTGAATTATTCTTTTATTTTGTTTATCTTTAATGTATATTTTAACATTACATTATAATGTGTTTATTATATTTTATTAGTTTTTTATGTATAATATGTTTTATTCGATCTTGACTGGAATTTCTTTTTATTAAATGTTTTATCTTCATTGCATTTGTTTCCTTTAAATTATTATGTGTATATAATATGGTAATCCTTTATTCTATCTTTATTGGACATCTTTACTTTAAATTCGTATGTTTATCTAATATTGCATACATTTTTTTTCATTTTCCCTTTATTGGACATTCTTACTTCTAAGGATAATTAAAGAGTTTTTGATTGAACCCATTTTGATTCTAAAATGCACATGAATGAGGACAGACACATTTGAACTGTGATTTTAGAGTGTGTGTGGCGCGTGTAGGCAGAGGTTTGATGTATAATCCAATCCAACTCACACACTCTTCCTCTTGCACCAAATGAACCAGTTTCTGCAGAATTTCCTCCAGCACCCTGAGGAGGCAGAGAGAAGAGGAGAGACATTCATCATGGGGGGTAATGCCTCCTCTACCATCTGTGCTGCTGGTTCCCCGCCTGCTCCGTACCTGCCCTTGATGTTGAAGTTCTTCCCCAGCATCAGGTGTTTGAGGGACGGGTGCCTTGAGAACGCTGGGATGACAGCCAGCAAGTCAGCATCTAAACCTGAACACACAACAAAACACACATAAGTGACTTCAATAAGGATTGCATGTGTACAGGTGCCAAAGAGAACAGGGTGTACGAGAGTTCATCTTTTATAAAAAAAAAACTTTCGTATCAAACTGAAACCTTTCTGGGCCGTCACACTCTGCCACATTTGGGGCTTTTAAGGCTCAGTTTTTCATCTCCTGTTCTGCTTTGGAACGAAAAATCACACTGCCCACTGAAATTCCAAAATACTCCTAATTAACTGCCCCGCTCCCACCCACTCACATCTTTCAAAAAAAGCTCAAGGATAGAGGATGCTGCCAAGAGGAAGCGGTTACCATGGCAAGATATGTCGGCGACAAAGCGTTAAATGCCTCATTCGGAGAGCGAAAAATATCCACGGTTAAATAAACCTACATGCCTCCGGTGTGAAGTGAGTTTCTTCACGTGTCAATGACAGGAAGCTATGACACCACAGAGGAGGAGAAGTGGAGAGGGCTGCACCAGAGACATATTCATTCAGAGGAATTAGGTAAAGGGAATTTCATCATCATTTTACGTCCAACTAACACACTCATCCTTGAATAATACAACCAATTTTTACATTAATTTGTCGACTCTTTTGTGTTCTTTGATTAAACACAATGTAATTAAGCTCCTTTTATGAGAAGGGCTGAAATTAGCGAACAATGTCTTAGTTGGTATTATACTTTAGAGGGGAATGTTCCATAACAAATGAGCTAATTATGAAATTGGCAAAAGACGTCAAGAGCTGCGGGAGAAAGGTTTTTCTCGCTTAGGAAGTAAAATCTTTTATATTCCTATTTGTATTTTGTGCCTCTACTGTGGCATTATTGGGTCTTGTGTCTCTCTAAAACATCTGCCGTCACTTAGTGTACATTTCTGAGATCGCCTTTTCTTAATTTCTTTTAAAGAACGCTGAAGGAAAATAATTTAGGGAATGACATAGGACTAATTTGTTTGACCATTAAACTGCTGACTGTGTCTTTGCTTAATTTGAACAGTTGGAAATCCAGCCTTGAATATATAAAAAACAAACCTCGTTATTTCATGAATTAGTGCATCATTGTTTTACAGAGCAGTGGCTTAGTTTAAGACACAATGACATCAGGTGGTTGGCATCAGCAGCTTCATTCAACTCTCACAATCATTGTTTCCTTCAACATCAACCATCAACCTATTCATACAGCTCTGACACTTCTTCCTCTGCTGAGACACTAATGTTAACACCGTTTGTTGCCGCAGCTACCCCCCACCCCCCTGACCCCCTCCTAATGTGATGAGCTTTTAGTACTGTCAATTCAACTAAGCTATAATGTTCATGTGTGTTTATCAAGGGGGATTAGCATTCCCAGCAGAATCCCTGCTGCACACATTTCCCCTGCTTATTCAAAAAGAGGAGCCTGTCCAGACAAATAGAACTGTAGAAGAAGCTATACGTCATACTTCCCTTGGCACACGTATACCTAAGTGTCATAATGGTAAATGGACTGCATTTATATAGCGCTTGTTTTGATTTGACGACATATACAAGTCAGAATTCACCCGTTCATACACTGCCATACAAAGTGTTACCTGCTTATGGAAACTAACATCAAGTAGGCGTTCAGTATCATGCCCAAGGACACATCAACATGTTGACTGCAGGAGTTAGCGAACAAACAACAGACATTCCAATTGGAGGAAAACCATCATCTTCCTGAGCAACAGCCACCACATAAAACTGTTGTTGTAAAAACATTGTACTAATTAATTTGAAAACTTAAGAGCTCTTAACATCCTCAAAACCAATAGTGACTCACATGTAGAGCCTCCTTTAACAAGGTACTTCAACTGTTTAGGCATTCACTTCAACAATGTTGGGGTATGCAAACAGACATCCTGACTTGTAGTCTCTAGAATGGCACAAGCTCTAAAGCAGGGGTGGGGAACCTCCGGCCCCCGGGCCGTAAACAGCCCGCCAGACCATTTGGTACGGCCCTCGAGGTAAAAAAATTAAAGAAATCTAGACCGCAAAAAAATTAAACAAGCGAGTGCCTGTTTTTCCTGACCAAGGTCAGGGTCCTTGAACACAACACAAGCCTAAAGTGTCATCACGTGGTATATGTCTCGTCTGACAGGGGCCGTTTCTCAATCGCGAGGAAACTGGCTTCCAAGCCAATATTTCAAGGATACTACGTCATCGAGTGCCGCCGAAGGACTGTTCCAATCTCCAGCATACTTGGAATTCCACCGAGGCCGCGTCCTTGGTTTGGGGGTAATTTCGAGGCTGCACATGGGTAGACTTCGCGTCCTTCAAATTCCCACAATGCTTTGCGCACGGACCAATTTCCCCAAATCTGTGGCGGAAAATGTAAGGCGGGGCCTCTCATATGACGCACACCTGCACACTTGCTAGCCTGTTCCACTCTTCGTTTTCCGAATGCCAGGAAGGATTCTTGCCTAGCTTCTGAAGGAAGTGACTCGGAAGACATGTGCTACCAAGCCAGCATCCTCGCGATTGAGAAACGGCCAGTGGTGCAGTTCTGCCGGAGAGCACCAGAACGCTCCGGCACTTCAGAAATTGCAGCACTTATGCAGCACATGCCGCAGTTTTTGCGTGGCTGTGTCTTTAGTTGTAAGGCCAGTGGCGATCTGTCATACTGATCATACAGTCAATAACTTTGTTGTTATTAGCATCTGGTTAGCTAGCTATGCTAACGAATATAAGAAGCTTTTTCTACAACCAGTGAGGTAAAGGCACATCTGTATATGATCATTATAGTTATAAAAAAATAAGAGAATAAAGTAAACCGGTATAAAATACTATATGACAGTTAAAAAGACTTGTTATTAATAAACAAGAATACAGTTTGAAAGGGAAGTGATTTGTAAAATATCCATAAAGAAAAATAAAATCTGCTTACAGTTCTGTTTCATCTGGGTGTTGAGAGATGTATCCATAGATCTACTAATGTTGCTCTCAAAGTGCACCAGATTGATGCTTTTAACTTCAACATTTAAAAACAAATCTAAATACATTTGCACACATCTTGCAACATCTTGTGTCCATATCTTTCTGTTTTGGTGGTCATGCCACAACTGTGCACGTGCATCCATATCCATGCAGATATCTGGATTAAGAGGTTGCTTTTTCTTTGCACAGCATGAAAGAAAGGCCAAATGAATGGGCTGTGATTTTAGTTTTTTTAAGCAGAGGTCAATAATTGGTACGACCCTCGGAGGATGTTGACAAAATTGAAATGGCCCTTGAGGAAAAAGGTTCCCCACCCCTGCTCTAAAGTTTTACGCTGGTTCATCTATTTCCAAAAAATGCAATTAAATAAAGTTGTTTTAAGCTTTTTAAACTAAGCTTTTGAGCTTTCAAATAGATTTTTCAATAACTAAGGTGTTTCAGTTAGCGAGAGGGTTCATCCAACTGCTGAGCAAGACATTTTTAAAGTGATCAGAAGTAACCTTTAACTTTCATGAACTGAAAACTCACTTTGAAAAGGTTAACGTTTTAAAAAGACCAAAATCAGAATGTGGTAGCGAGCGGTCAATCCCGTGGCAACCACACCCTAGCCTAGAGCATTTCCTGCTTTATGTACCTTTTCAATCTAAAAACTACTTAATGAACATCATGCTGTATTCAAGAATAAGATAAAATAAGATGTACTTTATTGATCCCAATTTGGGAATGTTTTGCGTTGCAGCAGCTTAAAAGACAAGGCATTGGACATAAGAGAAATTAAGAGTAGAAATAAACAATTCTAAAATGTAAACGTCTCAAAATAGAAAATATTAGGTTATAAGTCAAGTAAGAATTGGTTAATTTTGTCATAGACTTCTATACAATCAGTTAATGTAGCAATGAAATCGCCCCCTGCTGGCTATTCAATATTTTGAAACTTAATTGACCATGTTAGTTCTAAATAAGAGCATGTCGTAGTACGCCATAGGTTGACAGGATCATTCTAAATGCCTATAACATACTACAACAGAACATCTAAGTCTATCCCTGGTAGGTGTGTGCAGGAGTGTCTCTTACCATTATCAGAGATGTCTAAAGTCCCCACGCACGCAACTCGAGGAAACAGCTCCTGTATAACGCCAGCACCTGCTGATCTTAACTGTGGGAGGGAAGCGGAGAGGAGTGAGATGAGATGGGATCGCCACGGGCGTCCATCCATGGAGAAGATGAGTTTATAAACCTGGAGCACAGACCAACAGAGCATACCTCACAGCTGCTGATGTCCAGGTGTAAGTCAGTGATATGAGGGTTATTGGACAGACCTAGAAACAGAGCCCTGAAGAGAAAAAACAGGCAGAGAGAGAGAGAAAAAACAGGAGGGGGGAAGGAGATAGAGGGAGGATGGGTAATTGGAAAGGAGAAGAGAGAACAGAAGGATGGGGAAAATAGGAAAGAAAACAGGCATTTAATGGACAAAAGGAAAAGCAAACCGAAAGAAAAAAAAACAGAGAAAGAAAGACCTACATGAATCCAATTGCTTTGTTTCCTCCTTCTAACAACCTGAGACAGATCATACGGCCCCCTCCCTACCTCCCCGTTCCGCCCGTTGATTCTCCTCTGCACAGCTAAAAAGTTCTAAAGACGTCTTAAAAGATTCCCAGAAAAGTATCTTTAAAAAGAAGATTCATTGCACCCGACCTCTGCTTCGGAAATCAAGTTAAAAAACAAACCTTCAATATTTATTCGGGACAAGTAGCCAATTGTTGCACACAGGCCCAGCTGGATACTTAAAGGAAAACATTCATTTGCACATCAAGGCTCTGCTGGAGGTTGCTTCTTGTTCTAAGGATACATTCAAAGAGTTCTGCAGCATCGGGAGGTAATGAGGAAAAGTATGGAGTCCGCTCTGTCACATTTTGGCTGAGATCCATGATGCAGTACACAGGCTTCTCTATTGTTGGCGGTTGGCTTTGTTTACAGCGCTATTGATCGTGTTTTTTGGCAAAGAGAAGTGCCAACAGCGGGCTACACACCTACTACAGAAACTGTATTAAAGCAATATTCCTTCTAGTCTCGTTGGGAAACGTTCTTTGTTGTTTCTCCGCTCTCTTTGAGATGCTTCAGATCTTCTGGAAGGATATAGAGTCCTGCACAGAGACACGTCTGTAAGGTGGATGCCGGCCAATACGGGGGTTTCAATCTGCCTCCTCCGATTGAAGGCCAGTCTAACAACATAATAGAAAATGGCTCCATTGTCGAAGAGCAATCTAATGCGTGCCTTGATGATTACATTCCATTGAAACTACTTCAAACAACACTCCATATGGTATGAGCTCTAAGAGTCCAAGCCTCACATAGTCAAATATTGTATTTTTAAAAGTGGTTTGCTGAAGGTTAAATATAGAATATAAAAGGCCTTAAGTGTCCAATTCAACTTAAGCACCTTAAAGCATCACGAGTGGAGTCAAATTTAGTACGATTGGTCCCAGTATCTTTTTCAGATTCATAAATGGTGGTTGACAGAGAGGTGGAATCAGCCGGTAAAAGGGTGTACAGATAGAAATAACAGGCAACATGAGGGTTTATATAAACCACTAACATCATGAACCTTATTATAGCTAAATATAGACTCTGTGTAATTTCTTTTAGATTACATTCACCACTGGTCTCTAGATGAATGTTTGCATAGAGCTTCTGGACTGCAATCTGAGGAGGAGTGGGCTCCAATATTCAAATGAAGGTCTCCTACACCTCCGTATTGGCTCATTCACAGTGATATCTGCTCCATAAGCTAATTATATGGATGTATTCATACTGGGACATTTGCGATAGAAAGGCTGGGAGAAGTTTTTGTTCAATAAATAATTTATTTTGTAGCATTATAGTACCATTAGGACTTTGAAACCTCTATCATATATTGCACTTTGATTGCACAGTAATCTGACAGTAATTATAGTCTTTAATCACAATAGTTGGTCTTGTCTTTTCCAAGTGAAGGCTCAACTGGGTAAGAAAGTTTTAATAGGTGTTGCGCTACTCCGGTCCAATAGTCATTTATGCTTAGGAAGATTCCTAACAGAGTGAAATGACCCGGAAGTTTGAAATGGCAGCCGTTATAGGAGCTGGTTAGGTTGTCTAAATGCTACGGAAAGGTGCTTCAATGCTCCCCTCCTTGTATCCTTTAGTATAGGGTACACTGGACAATCCGTTATGAATGGAAAGGGGATAATGCCACTCCACAGTTCCTTGTGAGAGCATCAATGAAATGTGCCGTCACTGTTCGATGTACGCTATGGATGCATTGAAAAGGGACAGGGTTGAGTTTTTCACTGTTGCCTTTATATTTAAGTTATACATAAAGTTGTTTTTCGGTAAGTGCAGTTATATTTCCTTTCCTAAAACCTAATGAGATCTCCATTTCATCTTTCTTTGACCTTATGAGCTTTTCCATTGAGGTCGGTGAAAAGAGGTTAGGAAGAGATCTAGAAGCTATATTTCATGACTATTAGAACAGAGCCTTCGAAAAGCCCTCCAATTGACTTGAAAAACTAAGAGTCAGTTTGGACTTAATGGTTTTGAATGTACGGTGGAAAATTCAATTGGTGATCGTTACTGTGTGTAGGTATTTTAATATTTCGCCTCTTTTTGCAACTTTTATGCTGTTGTCTTGTCTTGGCCAACATGAATCAAATAAAAAAGTATCTAGTAAGATCTTAATCTATAACATCTGACTATCCATTTGTTTGTTGTTCATCAAAGAGCAACATTTTGATTTTCCATTCACAACTGCTCCTTTTATGCCTCGCTCCAACATGATACCAGTTCAATATGTCCTGGGGCTTCATTTATGAAGGGATATACGCTCAAAAAATGGCGTACGCCAGTTTCTACGCAATGTTTGCGATTTATAAAATACTAACTTGACAGGAAACCGTGCGGTCCTCCACGCAAACTCTAACCCATGCGTACGCACTAAGCACAAAAACAGGAGAGATGAGAAACTGCGACACCGCGTTGGCAGAAGGAAGAATGGAGAGAAATATGTGGAAATAATACCATAAATAAAATGTTACCTCTCATTTATCATATATGAAGAATTCATTTTCAAAAATGGATTAAAGCCAATCTTAAAATGATTAAACAAACGCCTGTTTGCGACTCCTCAGTGCACACAAACATAACATAACTTGGAGAAATAAATAAATACGGATATGTTATTTAAAACCACCTCGAATATGTTGTGTTAATGTTATGAAATGTTTTCTCATAAATGATGCGGTTTTGCATTTCTATAGGTTGTACGAGCATGGTTTTATATACTACCATGTTTAATCATGTTTTATGCCGTTTGCCAAGACTTGATAAGTCGCTCGTAAAACACAGGAGGTATGGAAACTAAGAACACCATATGTGGTCAATTGTACAGCTAATATAAGACAACACATTAGTTGTATTTCCTTTAACTGGTGGATATAGAGTTGCTGGGGGGGGGGGTTGAGATGCACAGGCTGCAGTGGAGACGCTGAGCACAGCTGATCGACAGCTGGAACACAAACCACCAATTACAAACAAATAATGCAGATCCAGTCGTCATGACTCCACTCCGGAGGGATTCCCCGATCATTTCTTACAGTTTCTCATCAAGGGGGGGTCTCCTGTCCCCGGTACAAACACACTGCCTGAGGAAGGCTATGTGTATTTTCTTTGTCATTAAACTTTTTCGGACCATTTATTTATTTATTTTGGTGACGATCCGACCTCCATGCTGCTACTCTGGTTCAAACTGCATCCACCAAACAATATGATTTATCTCGACCTCCCCAAAATAACCAAAATCTGACACGGTGTGAGATGTCTTTTTTAGCTGTTCTGTCGTCATTTCCTGCGATCTTCTTCATAAAGTCAGTCAGAATGAATGAATGAATGGGCGTTTCTTTAACTATTTATAGGCAAATATGGGCGTTACGTGAAGCCCGCAAAAGCTGCACCGCATTTCGAGTCGATTGTGATTTATAAAGGGAAACCGGCGTAGGAAGTGCTGTACGCACTTTCCTCGCCGGTAAGCAATGTTTGGTGAATCGGAAAATGTCTGTACCTATTTTTTGGATTTCTACTACGTAAGCAACCTTCCCACGTGAATCCTACGCACGGCGTTATAAATGAGGCCCCTGGTCTGTTTGACGTGTAAATTACATCTTGTTTATCTCAGCATGTACACCCTGTTCAGAGAGGGGAAAGTAATAGTTTGCCAATTGGCTGTCACAGAAGATAATACACAAGGGAAAGCTGATCACCATCAAAGGAATATTCATTATATAATCACAGTCCCACAACAAACAAAACTACAAATACTGCTTAAGGATTTGGTTACCAAATGAATCATTATTGGGCATCAACTAATTAGGGTAGTCAATGAGATGTATCAATCCAACTTTTTGTCCCAAATATACTTTTTGAGACTGATTTTGTGGGGAACTACTGAATGTGTTTTCTTTAATACCCAAATCAGCTTTTATTCTATTGTTGAGCTCTGCACAAAACAAATACTATGTCTCTATAATCTATTTTGCAAGTCATTGCCTAGGAAGCTGTTAAAGACTTCATACTCTAAACCCTAACCTGATGACATCACACATTTGAGCTTTAGAGCTCTAGTTTTGGGGAACTGAGAGAGTTTATCATAATTATTAATATTTTCAAATGTCTAAGACCATTGGAATACCTTGTTTGAATTGTTTTAATGCACATACTTCCCCTTTAGGATATTTGCAGATACAACCGACCAATCCGATAACACTTCTCTGCTTTTTCCCAAAGTGTAAGTCTAAATGAGTGGAACTCAAGCTATTTTACGAATACAGATTTGGATACAGCATGTTGGATTGTGAAATCTCTAATTGTTATTTAACGTCCAAAACCTCTGTAAACTACACATTATATGATGTTATCTGTTTCCATCTAAGCCAATAGATATCAATTACAACATACGCAGTTTCCCATTTCCTCTGTACTGCTGGATTCTTTAAACCTGAACATTTGCCTCGACCTCCTACATACATTCTGCTTGCATTTTCAGAAGTGGCTTAGGTATATTTATGACAGTCACTGAAGTGTTTTTTCTCCCACTTGTGAATCTGGAGGGTTTATTTTTCACAGGTCACTTCTGTCAAACCGGCCATTCCTTAAAAAAATAAAAAGCTGAGTATCTTGACAGCGCATTTTTGCTTTGATGTGCTTATCGGACTGAATTGTTTATCTTTGAATATTTTATTTATATTTCTCAGAGAGATGGATTTTTCAAAGTAGCATCGGCCATCTGCATCTCATCACTCCCCAAAGTTGTTAGGGTGATAACATCTTTAATATACCATGGCTGCATTTACATAGGACTTCTATATATCTTCGGAGTATAATCTGAATATAATCTCGACGTAAATAAAACATGCAAATGGCGCACACCTCCAAGAGTACTGTAAGATGTAGAGATCCATTTGCTGTTCAAAAAATAAAGTTGTTTCCTTGAAAACCCTTTTTCTCTGACAGACACTCACCTCAGCATATCAGGAGGGACTTTCACCGAGGCCAGGCTGACATGGGTCAGGCTGAAGGCGGAGCTGAAGAACTGGCGGAAAGTTGGCAGAGAATCTCTCGCTTTCCTGGGAAATAGAAAAGAATGGAAAAACAGCAGAGACAGAGGGTCAGCACAACAGACAGAGCACAGATGCTGGACAGACAGAAAACAAAAGGAACAAATGATGATTATGAATTGCATAGCATTTGCGGCATATCTCCTGGATGGTGAAGTCCATAAAATGTCTTTGGTTAAATATCCTGAGAGTTAACTAAAATAAGGGGAGTCTACCTTTTAAGATAGTGGTACGAATATAGCCGTTTTCAGGTTAATTCAAATTTGATAAAGCAGCAAAAAACAGTGAAGAAAAACAAAAGAAAGATTTCCAAAGAGCAGAGACAGAGGATGAGCATAATAGATGGAGCACAATCAGACCGATAGACTGACGGAAACCAAAAGGAAGGTGAGCAAATGACGAGATAAGAATCCGGTGGTGACGAGGAGGCGGATGACGGGCGAAGTCGATATGCTGATAGAGTGACAGGAAGTTTGCAGCAGACAAGTGGAGAGCTGACAGAGAAGAAACGGAACAACAGGAGCGAGGGAAAGAGAAGTAGACAGATGCTGGCTGTGACATTTATTATATCACAGACTCGGAAAAGGTGAAGTTGACGTTAATTACCGGCCCCGGTTAATAAGGTAACATTGACCAATTATCCTACCATCTGCTGGAAACATATTGCATCAGCCCGTCATCAGAGGAAGGGCAGAGAAAATGTGGGTGTACGTACAACATCCCTCAAAGACCTTTCAAATAAAAGGGACTATCACCTGCATACCGAGGATGCATGCAGTACGCTGGTTCGAATCTGTATTAAGAACTTGTCAAAGCAATCTGCCCCCACTGCACAAATCAAACCCAGTAGGGGAGGATGAGGAGGGGGTCCGGGAACAGCGGGAGAACATTATGAGGAGCATTGGAGGAGAGGGAGAAATTAGGTTTGTTTTCAGGAACATATTACCTGCTACCCATTTCAGGCACAAAATGTTATTTACTTGTAGATGGCTTTTTTTGGTTTAGTTTTACGGATCAATTCTTTCACCATCATCCTAATCAACGAGCGCCATTTCCGTGACGAGGCACTTTAGCTAACACGACTCATCATTTTAGTTCATTAGCCACAATGCAAAAAGTCAATTTCCCTGGCAGACATTTGAACTCATCATTGCGGGGCGAGCACAGCAGGTGTTACTAATTTGGTTAACGAGGGCTCAGATCCATATATGGACTGCAGTCATTAAATGTTATTAACTACAGCTGTGTCTTTTGGTGTCACGCATCAAAATGGCTGCATGCAACATGTTTCCTTCACTTTGTTGTACTTCTTTTCTTGTGCTACAGAATCAATTAGCGCCAGATGGTTGAGGGAATCTTTTTTTTGCTTTCATAATAAATAAAGTCACTCATCATAGCGTTATGAAGTCATACAAAATAACAGCCCTGCCAGCGGCTGTGTGAGGATCATACTTAGCCACTAAAGTGCGCTGAGCTACATGCTATCATCAGCGTGCTCACTCTTACAATGATCAATGGGTATTACTGACACTTGAAGGTATATCGTCTCCCATATGTTCACTTTTCTGATTGTCCATGTTAGCAGTTGTGAAAAAGAACTCAACACAAAGTACAACAGCATCTGATGGGAATGTTTTTCATCTGTTTTTAAGGTAATGTGGCATTAAAAGTAATGGACAAACTTATATTGGAGAGCGAAAATGTACATTGTGGTGGCCATGAATGTCTGTACAAAATTCAACATCAATTATGCTTCAAATGTATTATCAAGATACATTGTTAATAAAAGTCAGAATTTGAAATACTGTCCACTTTTTTCAGTTGGTCCAAAACTCAAAGATATTTACTTTTTATTACAATTATTTAATGTATTACATTTAAACAGAGAATAGCAGGGAAACGTACATTAAAGGAGCCTGAAAACAGCATTTGTTGTCATTTTCACATTCAACTAAATTGATTATGAAAATAGCTTTATTTTCCTTTTTTTGTTAACAAAATTATTTGTCATCTCATAGTTACAGTTCTACCGATAACCCGTCCAATAGAGGAGATATCAAGGTCTCGGTCAAAGTGATGGATCAACTGCTGACACTTCAAAAACACTATAAACTACTAGCTTTATTTTAGTGTGGGGAAAAACGGCAAAATCGCTGATTCATGTAATCGTTGTCAAAAAACACATGTACATTACAACAAAAAAACTAAATGTAAAACATTTTTGGTCATATAGATTTTTAAATATATGCTTCAGATAATTTACTTGTTTTCCCGATCAATTGATAATTTCAGCAGTTTTAAGAGCACTTCAAATTTCACTGAAAGCTGGACTAATTTTGTTCTAACAACATCGACCTCTGTTCATGTATTTAAACTTCCACTAATACTTTGAATGCGTTTCAACTTGAAATGACGCTTGGTCTTGTTAATATTAACTGACACATGAACTAATTTAATTACTCCTTTAATAACTACTTGTGCTAATTAAAATATCACATCTCATCAAAACCGTGAACATTTTTTAAATATATTTTGTTTTTAATAGAAGATTGTTTTAGGTTAGTTTTCCTTTTGCTGGAAGGAAATTGTTTTAATTTAATTTCAGATTGCGGAAACTGCTCTTCAATGATTATTTCTGTTCTCTTTTATCGTTTCACTTGACGAGAAAGCGGCTCCACTTATGCAAATGTACCTTCCTTTAGCATCACATTTGCATTACATCTAAACCTTTAGGACTTCATAAGTAAAAAGCTGCTCTGCTTTCCCCTGTGATAACGGAGCAAACTTTGTCCCCATGTGTTTGGCACAGCTGTTTTAATTGCTATGGAGTGGTAATGTGACTGGCTGAGAATAAAATGAATAATCACTACACCCCAGCAATCTCTATTCCGCTTCATCTAATGCCTTTGTGCATATTGCACTGCCAGTGTAAGCCCTTACTGCCCTCGCTCACATGAACCAGTGATTTACACCGACTGGTGTGATTGCACCGTTAAAGATAAGCCCCTCAGAATTTGATTTAAGATCAGCTGAGTTGGCTTGTAAAGCGACAAAGATACAGGCCACAATTAGCACTTGGTCAGAGTTCATTTAAATCCCTAACCACACACTTACAAGGTTAAAAAACCTTCTACTTTTTGAATAATATATATTTAATTCCCCAAATATTATGGAAATATGAGGTTGACCGTACGTGTAATGGAAATTCCATGTTATCCTAAGGTAATTCAACATTTGAGATAACAGATTTTTAAACGGTCTTCCACATATACAATTTCAGGCAATCTAATGGGTAGGGTTCAGTATGAGGTCAGAGTAGATCATTATTTAGATGGGGAAAAAAACAAGAAACTGTCAAGAACATTTCAAAATAACTGATCAGTGCATACAAGATTGTTGAGTAAGCTTTTTTCTTTCTTTTTTTTAAGCTTATTACAATGCATTGTATTATATGTTTTTTTATTCTGCAAAGAAACATTTCTATGATTTGGGTTTGATGCATAGGGTGCACCTGGCAGAGATAATGTTTTAGGAACTTGAAGACCTTCTTTGCTCTGATGTCTGTTGCTGACTTCTGGGTTCCACTCTAAAGGAGGACGCCATATATACGAGGCCCTCAGTAATATTAGTATTCATATTCTGCTGGGAAACCTTGGGTCCTGCCTTTCATGTGGATGTTACTTTAACACGTACCACCTATCTCAAAATTGTTGCAGACCAAGTACACCCCTTCATGGAGACGGTATGTTTGGCCGCAAAAGGCAATATGATTGCTAATATGGAGTAATGCTGAATAATAAGTTGAGTACGAGTGCTGCATAGCGTCAGTCAGTGTGTTTTGCAGGTTAATAGCAAGCACACTTTTTGAAATGTTATGTGTTGTGCAAGTTTAAGTATGTAAATAAATGTTCATGCAGATGTTTCATTTATTAGACCTAGCAGACAGAAATCAGCCACGTTAGACTGATGTACTTGTGTTTCTGAATTTTCTAAATGAACGTTTCTTTTGTGTCCAAATACGCCACACATACTTGCAAGTATTATAATATCCTTTCTCTAGACAGAAGTTGATTTTAAGTTGCAACTACAATCGATTCTTTCATAATGCTCTGAAATGTTCCCCACAGAGATGATAAAACGGTATGTGAGGAAATGAATAAAAGAGCATTTTTGGATAGATTCAGGGGAAAAGGGTAAAAGAATATCAAGTTACGAAGGAGAAAGATGGGAAACGGTCATTAGAGAGTGAGTAATAGTGGAAGGCAATAAGAAGAATACATTAAGAGGGGGCTGCTTTACAAGCCCCTGTCATTGCTACTGTGATAACCTCCCAGTGCGTGGAACAGCAGCTTTTCTTTGACCCATTTGTACCGATTAGCATACCGCCTGTCAGGACCGCGCTGATACAGAAAGGCTTCTGTCGCATGAGCAGACACTGTGTCACTGTCTCCCTCACAAAACACACTCCAGGGGGGCGTATCAGCAGCTTGTTACCCCACGTGTACATGTGTGTAACTGTATCTATATGAGCTGCTCATTGTATCTCGTGTGTGTGCATGTAAAGGTTCTGAGTGAGTCTGTCCCATATGCATTAGCGGCAGCCGGGGGGTTCTTATCAGCTCCGTTCAGCTTTGTGGCTCCGTCTGACCGGAAGAACTGAGCATTTAATATCATGAGGCCTCATGACCGGCTAGTGGTGAGATGAATTATGAAGAGAGGGAGGCATAATGGGGGAGGAGGAGGGAGGGAAGATTTGTGGAGAAAGAGGGAGGAGGAATGATAGATAGGAAAAAGAGGAGAAGGGAATTTAAGTGGAAGATGAGGAGGTGAGAAAAAAAATAGAAATGGAAAAAGGGATTTAAAAAAAAGTACAGAAGATGGATTATGGGAGGTCTCCAGGAAAAGGCTAGTGGAATGCTGGGAAATTCAATCTCATGAGAAATGAGTTTTGTGTGGTCAAGAGCCCCAGCAAGAGCCTGGATTCACAGAAGGGAAATGTAGCAGGGAAGATGAAAAAAAGGATTTGAGGTCCACCCCCACTTCAAATCACATGGACAGGTTCCTAAAGACATTTACAATTTTATTTAAATAGTAGCCCATGTCCATATATGTATTTGTGGGTAGTAGATGTAAACGATAGGGCTATCACTATGGGCATCAACGCTGTAAATATTGACAAATAAATCCAGCAAAATGGCACAAAAAAGAAACTGGTAGTGGCCTGGCTGGGTGTATCATTTCCAGCTTATTGTCTCGGTCCGGCCCTGCCTGTACCTGTTCGCTCTGCCATCGCGAGAAGGGTCTGCTCACAAGCGACCAACAGAAAGGTTAATGTTGTTGTTGTTGTTGTTGCACGTCACCTCACACACCCCCCCCAAGTATATTTCAGATTACACTTGTTTCACATTTGGTTTTAATCTAGTTTGATATGATTTTTCAATGCTTATTTTTGGTCCCTTTGTAATTTTAGTTGCTGCTCTCCTAACGTATATTTAAATATTACCTCCCATTAGCAATACATTATTATTATTATATGTAGACCTTTAACTTATTTTTTATAATCTGTTTTCAAGATTGTTCCAGGTTTGTTCAAATTATTTGTAAGTATATTGTTTTAATCTAATTTCTGATATTTTGAAATGCTAACTTTTGGTCTGTTTTGCAGTTCAAACAAAACTGCTGCACTAATGTCAATTCAAATAGCACCTGCCTTTAGTATGGCACTTGCATTATATCTGAACCTTTAAAGGGGCCCTATTATACTAAGTTTCAGGTTTGTGTTTGTATGTAGTGTCTCTCCTGGGACATGTCTCCATGCTTCAATGTTCAAAAAGCTTCTTTATTGTTCTCATACTGCCTGTGCTGCAGCACCTCTTTCCCCCCTCTGTCTGAAACAAGAGCCCAGTCTGCTCTGATTGGTTAGCTGACCGGCTCTGTTGTGATATGACAGAAGCCTATCACGTACAAGTGTTGGAGCACTAGCCAATAGAAGCGCAAGTGTAAGGTAGTGATGTCACTATGTCGCTGATGTATACAAAGGACTACATTTGAGGAGGGAACTTTGGGATCTTAGCCTTTGCAGACCATTTACATGCACAGAACCCCTATATAAAACACATTATGGCAAAGGGAATACCACAACGAGCAGAATAGGGCCTCTTTAATTTTACTTATCAGTTTTAACCAGGCAAGATTGTTACAAAACATTTAAAAAAGTAGAAGATGGACTGAAGAACACAGCAGATAGAAATGAAACAATTGGAGGGAGAAAGTGAGAGAAACATGCAGGCGTGGGTGCCTGGGGATTGGAACCATAATTCCCATCTAAAATTAGTCTCATTTTTCAACCGGCTCCTTCCCCAGTAATTCTGTAATGTAATATGCTGAGCAGAGAATCTCCTGGGCACCTGGGGGACTCAACATGATGAGGCCCGACTGCCTGATAGCTAGGTAAACACAAACACACAAACACAATAAAAAAAGACAAAAGACTTGTGGGCACGCTAACAAGTGCTTGACAGATGGAAAACTTGTTAGCAAACAGAGACATGTGTACATTGAGAGACAGACGGGAACTCATTCTGCAGGCAAAGTGTATATGCAGCGACTCGGAACAAGTTACGGGGGCGAGCCAAGCATGCACGCTAATTACGTTAGCGAGGTCCAGGGCCAAATGCTAATCTGCAGCGGGAAATAAATGAGGATGCTTGCTCTGCTCCTGACTGGAATATCTCCAGAGCTGTTTGGCTGAGTCAGAAGAGAACTACATTTATTTAAAATAAAAAAACAACAACAACAACAACAACAGGGTTTACAGTGGAGATGACGCCCACCTGTGAGAGAAGGAGTTCTTGGAGAGGTTCAGGTAGGAGAGGTCAGCGCAACAGCCTCGCAGCAAGGCCCCAAACAACTGGCAAAGAAAACAGAAAGACAGAGAGATAAATGAGTGTTGTTCTCTACAGAGAGTAGAACAGGTTTTTTTGGCAGATTAAATATGACACAAATGCATTTTCGAATACGCTAAAAAAAGTGATGCCTCTGAACTGTATTTCTTCCTTGGCAGGAGCCTCTTCAATAAAAATGTCCCCTAATGTGTCATTGGTGCATTATAGATGGCATTAGATTATAGAATATTGTAGAAGCCTGACTCTGCAGATTGGGGCAAGTAATAGAGCAGAACAAAATAGATGTTACATCTGATCAAATCAGGACAAAGCCGTCTTGGCTATTTGTTTTAGGATGTATTTGATCCTTTTTGGGCCATATGGTAAGGGTTTATGGGAGGTGATGCAACATTTCTCATTACGTTTCTACAATCACACGGACACAAGTATAATGAACATGTAGTTACTCGACAGTTGAGGAAGAAACAAGTGATCAGAAAAAACACAGGTCAAAACAACCACATTATTTGTTCCAATTAAAATGCTGCTGTCTTAATGTGTGCAGTGGAGCAAGGCACTGATTTATTTTCATCCGAGACCCTAAATTGTTGCAACTCAGTGCTGTCGGGGAAATGCTGATCGAGGGATTTGGCTCTGGTAGTGTATGATACATATATTTGGTGGTCAGCTTTAAGCAGAGGTGGAAAGTAGCATTTACTCAAGTACAGTAGCAACTAAGGGCCTGTGTCCACATAGCGCCTTTTTCTGAGTGCAAGGGTCTCTTTTCAATTGATTCCAATGAGATCATAGGTATTTCCATCACATGCTGGCAGTGGCTCAGTCAGTCGGGGCTTGGACTGGGAATCTTAGGGTCGCTGGTTCAAGTCCCCGAACAGACCTAAATAAGGAGTGTGGACTGCTACTTGGAGAGGTCCCAGTTCACCTCCTGGGCCCTGCCGTGGTGCCCTTGAGCAAGGCACCAGACAAATATTATTTTCTACCCTTTTATTGAGTGAACAAATTCCTAACAACTGCTCAGGCTCTTTTTTCATTTTTAAATTAAATGTGATGCTAAAAGCAAGAGTCTACCGCCATGCTAGCAGCTCTGTTAAGCAGAACTTTGGCTACCAATAAATGCGCCAAATACACGTATAACATTTAACAATGGACACAATTGGTGTTTAGAATGTAAGCACAAAGTACAGGTATGGACATAAAACTAAAAATCCAGACAGATTCAAATCTGAGACATGGCACTACAGGAAAACAGTTTTAACAGTTCATCCTAAGGGGAACATGAGTGTGTGTACCACATGTCAACCTCATGGTGGCGCTAGAGGGGAACACAAAAAGACCATCATTGCCCCTGTTTGAGTCACGCTTTATCTTTTAAATGTTTCGAGATTGTTGAATAAAAATGTCCCTAAATGGGAAAATGAAAGACATATTTGAAATGAAAGGCCCATATAGTTGGAAATTAGACATTTGTTATGTTCTTGCCCATTTCAGGGTAATTGCTCCCTAGCTCCAGCAACAAAGCTAAATATAGCAGATACTGTGCTCCTACCAATACTTCAAAGTGTGTACGGAAAGGGCGGTCAGAGCGAGCCTACGAATTCCCGATAGCGGAACCAAATGGGCAATAAGAAGAGTAATTGTATTAAACTGAATCAGAATAGAGCTGAAACCATACCAGCAAATTAGATGAGTTAAGAATGAATATTAATCAAATGTCAAGATTCACATTAAGTATAGAAAAAGAGCCACTGGAAAAAATGAATTATTCTGTGTCACTATACGATCAACGTGTCATCATGAAGCATTCATGTACCATCCATCAAAGTGCATAACCAATCCCACTCTTATCTTGGGAAGGTAAGGCTCAAATTCAAACTCTGCAGGGCTCTGGAAGGTACAGAAATTAATATATCTGTGTTAGTGACCCAATTAATGTTGAAATAAAGATGATTTACTTCAAAACCCAATTTCTCGTAAGACATGAGCCGCATCTAATCGCAGGCGAGAGGTTAAACTATCGGACAAATCCATTTTACCCTGGCAGTGCCATCCCTCACGCAAATTGACTAAACGACCCTTGTCGGTGCATCAACGCAGATTAAAACAGGAACTTATTAATAATTCAATCCAACAGGCCAACACTAAAAGAGACAAATTCTCCCTCAGACAGTTTCTCACAACGGGATAAACGACAATTACCAAAACGCAGCTATCACAGGGAGTTCTCTTTTTTGTCTCAAGAGGATTTTTAAAGAGAAATACGAGGGGACAAAGTTGAAGAAGTGTCCAATCAGGCAGTATGGATGCACATAATTCAAAACTCACTTGACCCTGCTGAAAGAAATCCCTGGCTGACAAGCTGACTGCTCTTTGGGGTTTCAAATGGACTAAAGGGCAAACACACGCACAGTGAGTCGCAGGCATTGTAGTAAGAAAAAGCCAAAGGTGAGAGTAACAGAAGTATTTGGATCCTTAACTTTAAAATGTAGTTATACATGAGTGTCGATAAACATACTACTATAAGAAAAATGAAGTATTATCATAGAAATGCACTTCAGTAACAGAAGTAAAAATACTCAACAGAATGGTTCCTTTCATTCGATATAGTATTATTTATGTGGTAGTTATTGTTGTTAGTGGCAGAATACGCCATTATTTTTGCTGGATACAATTTCACACTCGTTAAGGCAATCAAAAATATGAACGCATTAAAATCTTAAATCACTGTTTGCAATCAGCCTTACTGTTTTACTGCCCATTGTGCCTGAGCTGTATCTGAGCTTTCAATGAGAAAAGAGAAACACACATTTGGCTTACATTTTGAGAAAAACAACTTGAGTAGGATTATGATTTAAATAAATTATTAATTCAAAAAGTATTAGAAGCCAATTATATTATATTTTGTATGACAAATAATCAATAAAACTAGTAAAAAGCTCAAAATTGTACTCTAAAATGTAGTGGAGCAAAGACGTACTTGTTTTAACTTAAAACAATATTGAAGTACCGTACCTTGGGTAAGTTACTTTCCATTAAGGGGAAGAACACAGTCCAATTAGTTAGCTAGCTGGCTCTTTTCTGATCGGTCAACCGCTTAGAGATGTCCCGCCTCTTAGCAAATCACGTAGTGTGTTGGCCAATAGAAGCGCAAGTGTGTTTAACCCATAGTGATGTCACTATGTTACAGAAGTAAACAAAGGACTACAATCGAAGCGTTTCAGGCAGGAGGGTAGTGGACCTCAAAAATAATAATAGGGCCCCTTTAAGAAGGCAAAAAGGTTGGTGCGAGGCTACATGGCAATATAGAGAGTGTGGACTCTGAGAATTCACTGCCGTGGTGTCACTGAGCAACAGCAGAGCTTCGAGTAAATCTCTGGCTGACTGACCTCTTATCTCCCGGCAACGAAGAACACAATAAATCAGATATTTCTGTCTGTTCTTTCCATCCCCGCAGGTCCCTGCTGCACGCCGTCCTGTCAGCAGCAATGCAGCACTGACGACGGGACACAAACAACAAATGTGAGCTGGCTCTCTTCACAAACCTCTTACATCTTCCAGAGGGACACAGAGACGAAAAACATCCCGAGTACATCTGTAACTTAGAACATTTTCTGTTGTGTATCGACAAGAATAACTGCAATGTCAGCGGTATCCAGCAGGGGCAGGCTCACTCGAGCGTGGTCACTGAACTCTTTCAGAGAAAGAGAGAAAGCTCCATCATCCTTTCAGCTGTGAGCTTGTATCTGCTAATGCGGCGAGACACCGTTTTGTCACAGTGGCAGACGTGCTAAATTTAGCCGCAGTTACGACACGGACAAAGTCATCCCTATGAAGTGACAAAGACTTGAACAAACGCCTGAAACAAAAGCTCCTGGATGCAATTCAGATGATGTTCTGCTTGTATAATTCATAAGAGGCTGTGTGTTTCTATTGTAGAGCATCTTGAGAGCATCACTAAAAGCATTATGCACAGAGGAGCTCGGAGGAAGACTGTGAGTTAGCATTGTTTTTGTGAGGAGAGCGATTCTTATTCAGGACGAAACCCACTTTCTGTTTCTTGGCCTGAATCCTATCCCTTCCTAGGGGAATTCAGACAGCGATGACTGGATATCAACTGTAACAGAGACAGAGCGTACTAACCGAGTCCACGGTGCAGTCTGTCCCAGAGAGGTCCAGGTGGACCAGGCAGTTGGGCTGGGCCAGGAACAGGTACAGGTTCTGCAGGGGAACAAGGACAATGTCTTTTAGAGAGCAGATAAAGGAAGAAAATACAAGCACATATGAATGGTCTGTATATTAGAACACATGTTATTTAGCATATGCTTTGATCCAAAGCTTACATACACTTCAATACCATAGACATAACGCTGGGAACAATTTAGGGTTAAGTATCTTGACCAAAAACACTGGTGGGATCAAACCACTGATCCTCTGATTGGTACATCTTTACTGATGGTATACTCATTGGTTCATAACAGGAAACCCTTTGCTTTCCTAATTCTCTTTGAAAGAAGAATGCTAACGGTTTACATGAAACCCATTTATGGTCCAAATAATCCAATGGCAAACCATTGTGAATGTTTTACTTTGAGAGCAAGAGAGTACAACACCTCTAAGATTCTTTAAGTCCTTAGATACTAGGGATGTGCATCTCCATCACTGAGGCCGATGCGATGCGCATCTCGATACGTTGCCACGATACGATACATTAACGATACATTTGAAACACCAGGCGATGCGATACGATACGATTCACCCCTGTTGCGATACAGTTTGATACGATTTGATTCAACATTATGCGATTCGGTGCGATACGATGCGATTCAACACGATGCAAAAATAATGATACTTCAATTTGGTATGACACAGGATTTTTGTTTTATTCCTTATATGCAGCAAATCATACATTAACAAAAAAGTGCTTTACATATTTGGTACTGCACATCCCATCATGCCGTTTATTTTTTTACCTTTAAAAGCTCTCCAGAGTACAATTGTATAACACCTCACAGTTAAACAATGTAAGGATGCATTGCTCATGATTAACAATGTGCAAATAACAGCTACCATAGAGCAATGCCCATACAGCTGCCAGCCTGATGTGCTTAACACTCATTCATAGGCTAACTCACCAGTGAGCAGAAAGCAGTGGTTTCTATAGGAACAATAAAGAATACAAATAACCTTTCACAAACAGGTATTTCATAACTGCTTACAGTGAGGAATACATTTAAATTATTATTGGCCGTCACAGGCTGCTGTAAACTAAACACCACTCTCTCTGACAGAACACCTCACTGAGTGATTTAACTCGTATGTCTAACTTTCATGTTTCTCTTTTCAGCCGCAGACCCCATGTCGCCTCTTTATGTGCGTCGCTAAGTTCCTCGTACTACTTGTGTACTTTAAATCGGCTCGGCATCGTTTACAATTTGTGAGCGATTTTTCAAGTTGACCGTCTGTGCCGCGCACATATACCATCAGGACGTTACTGATGGGGTGCGGCTGCGGAGTGATACTGTGTGTATGCAAGCCCGCATCTAGGACGGATCTATGTATCATGGCTGTAGACCTGTTAAGTAATAAAGATACCTCATACAAAGGTCTACGGATACCTTATTACTCTCCATTGACCTGCGGTCAACTATATAGCCCTAGCATAAAGGACTATTACACCGTCTTTCTTGAACAATCCGAAGTGTTACCAAACGTTTGATTTGTAGGTATTTTTCGGTGCGCTGTGTTTCTCTTTCTCCTCGACTTCCGTGTGTGTTGATAACTGAGACTCTCGGCCTCCGTAGTGGCGAAGCAAAATATCAAAGATCGTCTCTGCTGAGCGTTGACAAGATTAGGGGATATTTTATATGAATGAATCGTTTTTTTTACCGATGCAAAGACGCTACGCAATCGATGCATCGCGAGTTCAACCCCGGTTCAACCCAAACTGTAGCCGATGTGCACTCTTTCAACCGGTGCACTCGCATCTTGAACGTTTATGCCGGTGCACCGATGCAAATCGGTGAATCTTAACATCTCTATTAGATACAGGTTCCAGACTGGCTTATTGCAAGTATTATGTCTCTTTCAGAACATTTCATAGCACTTGGTTTATTTGAAGCTAATGCAGAAGCACCTTTTAAATGGGTGGTGCAAGGCCTTTGTTAACAAAACAACCTTACATTTTCGGATAAATAAAGTATATTTTATCTAAAACATGAAATTTGACACCTCAACAACTTTTTGGAAACTTCTTCTTCTTTCTTTAATGTATGTCATTTTCACTCAGGTTTTGTTATGCACAACAAAAAATGTGTATAGAAACAACCAAATGGAAAAACTACGTTAGGATAAATTCTGAATGGTATTTGTTTCCTTACTGTTGCGTCCTCTCCAGACAGAACCCGGGGTTTTTACTGAGGTCCAGATGCAGTAGAGAATTGGAGTAGTCGTCACTTGAACACAACGCCTGGGACAAAGTAACCACACCTAATGGGGGGGTCGTGATAGAGGTTGAAATAAAAAGGGGAGGGCAAATTAGTTTCAATAATTCAAATGATATGCATCCCAAAGTCAGTTTAATGATTTTATAATGATCTTTTTTTTCTCTTGGACGTGACTATTAGCAACTAATGAATACAAAAGTACATAATGCAGGAGGGTGAGCGAGCAATGTGGCAAACTAAATAATTTGCGCAAGAGACAAGTGAGCTCCGATGGCAGGCTAGTATCAAAAGAAGATTTTAGGAGGAAGCTAGACCCTTTTCCCCCTGTATGTACCCTGAAAGCCAAACAACAGAAAATCATTCTTTCAAAATCAGATCACTACACAATTACACCCACGGGCCCGATGGAAGCCCTCATTTAAAAATCTTCGCCCTGAGCGATGCAAAGCACGGTGCGGAATGGCAAGTCGCAGGATTAAATATAGACACAATAACAACATGGGAGAAATATCTAGCAGCACAGACAAATAAAAAAGTTTACAAGCATCATTAATCTGTTCACTAGTCTAAGTTGTAGGGAATACATTCCTCCTGTTTAAGGCTTTGGGGAGGCCAGCTAGTGCATGTGCTTGCAATGACGCTAGCAAGGCGCTCTAAGCTCTTCATCCCTAATTTTGTAGCGATTAGGAGCCAAATGAGGGGAAGAGGGGACAGGGTGTCTAATCCCCCCCACCCCCTCACACTTTGTCCATCTATCAGATTTGAAGAAGCCATTAGGTCTGTGTGAATAAGAGAAATAGGATAAACAAATATCTAAAATAGGATAAGGTAAGAGTTGTTCCATTATAGAATAAAACAACATAAAGAAAGAAACACAAAAGGAAATATAATAAATAAATTGAATCAAATAAATAGAAATAAATATGAAAATAATTGGATCTCCTGGTAACAGTTGCATAAAAGAGATAAACAAATAAAAAGATAAATTTAAATTGATAAAAGAAAAATGTTTTTTTAAAAAGAATACAAAAGTAAAAAAATATGTATCTTGCAACATTTGCTCTTTATATTATAGTAAAACAAATAAAACATAACAAACTAAATATAAAATTATTTCAGATAAAATAGGAAAATATAAATAAAACATGGATGTTGGAGCACTTGCTCCATTATCTAATGGACTAAATTAAATATACAAAATGTAATCAAATTAAGTAAAATCAAATTGAATAAAATAAAACAATAAAAAATGTGATCTTGTAAGATAAATTAAACAACATTAAATTAAAATTGGATGAAATGTAAGTTGAAAAAACGTGTTATTTATTTTAAAAATAGTAGTAGAAGTCAAATCAATGTCTCTTGTGGGGGTGCACGTGAGAGATATCTGCCTTTTTGCATCTGATCACATCTCACCGATAGTGTCTGTGCGTGTGTGTGTGTGTGTGTGTGTGTGTGTGTGTGTGTGTGTGTGTGTGTGTGTGCACGTGCTCGCCTCAGCATATGTGTAGCTGTTTTTAGAGATGAAAGGAAGGAGGGGTGGATACAAATCTATAAATATTCAACAAAGTAATGCTCAGCCCCTGCAAAGTCATACATCTTCAACCCCCCCTATTCAGGTCCAGCACTGCGTTCCCCCTGAATCACTGTTGTCCATCCCACTGCCATTTTAAATTGCACACAGTGGCTGTTTGGTATCTTTACCATCTTGTGTTTATCATGGTTATACGGAGGTTGTCGTCTGCGGTGTACGCAACACTCATCATTCAGCCGAAAGCCAAGTCCCCTACAGGAGCAGAGGAGCTGGGGAAAAGGGTTTAGCTTTTCAAGCTTCAGGGCAAAATTGTTTTTTGTAATAGATAGAAAGGATGTAATTGCCCTCACTTTTATGGCATTTTGGCTGGTTATTTTAGATCCCTTAAGTTACCGCTATAGAAGCTCCCTAAATAAAAACACCCTTTGTCTAATGTTCTGGAAACGCAGTGGTGGAAAAAAGTACTCAGGTCTACATCTGTGCTATTTAACCAGAATCCATGCACAACACAAGAGGTCATAGATCACACACACAAAAAACGATTTTTCATTTCAAAGTGTTCCCCTGTATATATGCAAACAGCTCACAGTACAGGAGGTCAGAAAATGTCACTTCCATTATATCAAGGTAGGCAGAATTTCAACAGAATCTCCCTCTCAACAGATAATTCAACAATGCGTATAACCCAATCATTTTAACAATAATGGACAACAGTGACACCTTTTAAACATGTTGATTATTTGTTATTGTGGAAAATGTTTTTTTTGTTGTTAATTTGGTAACAAAAACATTATATAGATTACTGTATTTATTTTGCTTTGTAGGACCGCTTACTGCTTTTGTGTACATGATAAGAAAATCATTCATTCAAGTAACTAGTACGATTCATCAGAGAACCTGTACCCTCCTTTCATAAACTCAGCCAGTTTGAATTCTGTACAAATTATTTGATTCTCAGAGTAAATGTCATATTTTATACTGTTATCTTACACTTTTTTCACAATTAATTTTCATGTAAAAATTTATTTGTATATATATTTTTTTAAATAGCTTAAAAAATGTTTATATTGTTCCTTTTTTTTTTACAACTTAACTCCTCTTATTGTGTTTATATATGCACTATAATACACCAAAGCAATAGGTTCTTGTACATGCAAACCTGCAGGGCAATTAACCTGATTCGATCAGACCAAAATATAATGATGAAAAATGCTATTACGCTGAGGCTACAGTATTAATGTATGAACTTAAATGTGATCTCTTTGAATCTGCTATAATAGTGGACGGTTTGTGCTGTTTGGTGATAAGAGCAATAGAATTGGGACACTGCACTAATGCCTACATGGGGTTTTTAACGGGGATTAATTTTGGTAGATGGGTCATACTGCGTGACTCTGTTTATCTATGCGATGGTAATGCTAGACAAAATAGAACTGCATGGTGGGCCAGCAGCTACAAAAAACAGAGTCATAGAAAGTGTCTTTGAGTCACTCATTTGTTTTTTTGTACTAGTCCAAAATCCTAATTGGACATTCATTACATTTCATTAATGTCGGTGGTCTCTTACCCTTGGAGGAAAGGGAGGTCTTGGAGAGGTTGAGGAGGCGCAGACCCTTGCTTGATGGCGACACACTTGTTTGAATCAGGTTGGAGGACTCCTGGTTTAAAGAGAGGGGAAGGGGAAGGATGAGAAGAGAGGATACATTCATCATATAATCATAAATACCAAATCCACATATTTATCACACATCTTAGAGCCAGAAACACTATAGGTTTAATGAGTGATATCAAAAAGTACTCTAGTTAAGTCAAAGAAGCCCACCACTAAATACTGTTGCAAGTAAACGTTTTTTGGTTTCAATACAAACGTAATGGCATCATAATATAAAATATATGTCCCAAAGTAATGGAATACATAAATGGCCCCATTTCAGAAGCATATAATCTCTTTAAGCCTAGGGCACTTCCAAACTGTTATATTATGTTTTGGTAATTTCCGGTTTTAAAAAGGCCCTGTTATGCTTTTTTGGAGTTTCCCTTCCTGTAGTTATATACATTTGTGTGTAGAGTGGGGCAAAAAAGTATTAGTCAGCCACCAATTGTGCAAGTTTCTCCCACTTAAAAAGATGAGAGGCCTGTAATTTTCATCCTAGGTATACCTTAACTATGAGAGACAAAATGAGAAAAAAAAAAAAGAAAAAAAAATCCAGAAAATCACATTGTCTGATTTTTAAAGAATTATTGCAAATGATGGTGGAAAATAAGTATTTGGTCAATAACAAAGTTCATCTCAATACTTTGTTATATACCCTTTGTTGGCAATGACAGAGGTCAAACATTTTCTGTAAGTCTTCACAAGGTTTTTCACACCACAGTTGCTGGTATTTTGGCCCATTCCTCCATGCAGATCTCTCTAGAGCAGTGATGTTTTGGGGCTGTCGCTGGGCAACCACAGACTTTCAACTCCCTCCAAAGTATTTTCTATGGGGTTGAGATCTGGAGACTGGCTAGGCCACTCCAGGACCTTGAATGCTTCTTACGAAGCCACTCCTTCGTTGCCCGGACGGTGTGTTTGGGATCATTGTCATGCTGAAAGACCCAGCCACGTTTCATCTTCAATGCCCTTGCTGATGGAAGGAGGTTGTCACTCAAAATCTCACGATACATGGCCCCATTCCATTCTTTTCCTTTACACGGATCAGTCGTCCTGGTCCCCTTTGCAGAAAAACAGCCCCAAAGCATGATGTTTCCACCCCCATGTTTCACAGTAGGTATGGTGTTCTTTGGATGCAACTCAGCTTTCTTTCTCCTACAAACACGTCTAGTTGAGTTTTTACCAAAAAGTTCTATTTTGGTTTCATCTGACCATATGACATTCTCCCAATCCTCTTCTGGATCATCTAAATGCTCTCTAGCAAACTTCAGACGGGCCTGGACATGTACTGGCTTAAGCAGGGGGACACGTCTGGCACTGCAGGATTTGAGTCCCTGGCGGCGTAGTGTTGTACTGATGGTAGCCTTTGTTACTTTGGTCCCAGCTCTCTGCAGGTCATTGACTAGGTCCCCCCGTGTGGTTCTGGGATTTTTGCTCACCGTTCTTGTGATCATTTTGACCCCACGGGGTGAGATCTTGCGTGGAGCCCCAGATCGAGGGAGATTATCAGTGGTCTTGTATGTCTTCCATTTTCTAATAATTGCTCCCACAGTTGATTTCTTCACACCAAGCTGCTTACCTATTGCAGATTCAGTCTTCCCAGTCTGGTGCAGGTTTACAATTTTGTTTCTGGTGTCCTTTGACAGCTCTTTGGTCTTGGCCATAGTGGAGTTTGGAGTGTGACTGTTTGAGGTTGTGGACAGGTGTCTTTTATACTGATAACGAGTTAAAAGAGGTGCCATTAATACAGTTAACAAGTGGAGGACAGAGGAGGCTCTTAAAGAAGAAGTTACAGGTCTGTGAGAGTCAGAAATCTTGTTTGTTTGTAGGTGACCAAATACTTATTTTACCGAGGAAATTTACCAATTAATTCATTAAAAATCCTACAATGTGATTTCCTGGATTCTTTCCCCCCATTCTGTCTCTCATAGTTGAAGTGTACCTAGGATGAAAATTACAGGTCTCTCTCATCTTTTTAAGTGGGAGAACTTGCACAATTGGTGGCTTCATCTCAGCAAAACGATAAAACCCATCGCAGGGATGGTTATAAAAATAGCATAAAAGCCTCGGCTTTATTTAAGAATGCAATGCTTTTGTGTAGTGCCAAACCTTGTTTCCTGAGTGAATGTGTGCAGAACTGTTCCTGGGATTCAATGCATGAAGAACACTGTAAGCTTTGTAAACAGACTGAAGGTCATTTTTCACTGTGATTACGGGGGTTATTGTGATGCTGGTTAAAGCTGCAGTGCGTATATGGCTGTAGTCACAATAAAGGAAGTCTATACACACTTCGCACATAGAGGGAGGCAAACTGTGAGCAGAAATAATTAATTGAAGCGAGTTGAAGTGACGTGTGTCAGGTGGGAGGGCAGGAATTAGCTAATGAGTGAGAGTGGCATACATGCAGAGCCTGAATGTGGTGTAAAAGAATATGTGCGTACAAAGCACAGGAGAGAAAGGTGTAAAAGGTAAATTCATAGATTCATGTTCAGATTATTTTCTAGATTAGGATTATTGTCAAACATGTCGATACCAGCTCCTCAAAGTCTAAGGCAATGTCTTTAAATATCTTGATTTGTCAGGACCAAAATACATTGACTTGAATGTGATACAAAGCACAGAAAAGTGGGACATCTCCATATATAAAGGGAAGTATAAAGTAGGGCTGTAAATAACAAATATTTTTCCTTATCACATCGTCCGACGGCGTGTGAAAAATAGTGTTTTTGGTAACACGGGGGTGTTCAGTTACACTTAAAGTCTTGTTATGGAACGCCAAAGCAGAGTAGGGGGCTAGTACACCCTCCTGAGGGTCCGATTGTGGATGTCATGCGAGCATAACATGGTGAGATACAATCAGTCTAAATTAACAATCGGGACGGAAATGTTTGGATTTCCAAATAATGTGAATAAATTAAAAATCAAGAACCGAAATAATTGAACTATTCATATCTTAGACTGCACTGTAACTTCTATCTTTTAATGTTTATTTTATTAGCTTTTCTTTTTAATGACTGATTTTTAAATGCCATTTTCATAATGTCTTTCATTTTTTGTTTTTCTTTTAATGTTTCTTTTATTATCTTTTACTGTTTTTAAATGCCTTTGTCTGAATGTCTTTCATTTTTGTAAAGCACCTTGAATTGCCTGGTGCTGAAAGGTGCTATATAAATAAACTTGCCTTGCCTTGCCTATCATTAATGTTTAGATGATTTTCTAGATGTTAATCGTTTCATTGTTTTGTTTTTAAATGTCGGAAGGGAAAAAAGGATAAATGTCCATCCCAGGCCCAAATCCAAGTTAATGACTTAAATGTCGTGACCCAAAGACATTTTATTTGAATATGATATTAAACAGAGAAAAGCGGGAAGGGAAGGAGAAGAGAAAGGTGTTATAATTGTAATGGGGCTTCAAAAAAATTATTATTTTGATGAGTGATTCATCTGTCTGACTATTTAAGAGAGTAATTGAATAGATGAATTGTCTAAAAATTGGCAAGAAATAGTGAAAATGTGAGGAAAAGCGGGAACTTTCCATATTTAAAAAGGGAGATAAAGGTGTGTTGTTTATTTTAAATGTTTAATGTTAATCTATACTGTGACTTACTTTAAAAAATATATATTATTAATTATATCTCTTTGTTGTACTTGTCTATTATGATGCTATGACATCGAATTTCTTATATTATTTATTAAAAATATTTCCGGGTAGTATTTCCGGGTTTAATTTATATTTATGGTTCTAGATTAAATGCTAGGACTATAAAATGTTAACAAATTATATTAAACTGTACATCCCAGTTTCTAACGTGCAAGTCAGATCTTTTAAATATCTTCTTTTGTCAGAACCAAAATACTTTAACTTTAAAATGATATAAAACAGGCAAAAGCTGGGAATGTCTCATTTTTTAAGGTGTATAACAGTACGGGCTCTCCAACACGTCAATCGCGAGGGTAGCTCGCGTTCAGCTTTTCCGTTCTAGCTCGCCACTCGATTATAGCGTGGTAACGTTTGCTCTGATTTTTTCGGCCGCGGTCCTGGACAATAACGTTTTTTTTCTGTCACACGAATATCAAAATTGGTCGGTGACGCAGAGATCAAGGAGCAGATTGTGACAGCGGCACAGCGACACCACACACGGAGCAAGTCTGCTTTATCCACCAACCACAAGCAAACCCAGTCCAGAACCAACAGCAGAAGACCCGCTCTGAATCAGTCCGCGTCGCTGCGGCTCAGAGACACACAGGGAGGGAATTTGTGTTTTTTTGAAAAACCCCTCATTATCGTCATGTCAGGTTTTTGTGGATTACTCAAGTCTTGGATTGCAGTAGTATGAACGTCCGCTTTCTATTTTTCACACGATAAATACGTGTGTGTAAAGTTTGTGAAGGCAGAAGGAAAGCTTCCGCGATCACCGTCTCCTCTGTTCCTCCAAACCCCCGCCCCCTCCCTAAAAATAATGGTGATGACAGGCTGAGTAACCTGATAGAAAACTTTATTATTCACTTAATCACTGATTGAGAAATGATGAAGCTAACTAATCTCATACATCAGGGATTTATGTAACAGTAAGACAGAGAATAAGTGTGCACCCACACATGCAGTATTTTTGATATGCTGTTGTAAATACTCCTGTTGTCTGCTGTGTTCAGACTCAAGGTCCTGTGAGTGATGCCACATTCAGGACCTTCAGTGTCCTTTTTTAACAGAAGGACCGTTGCTAGAAGCTGCAGCTACTGCAGAAGCATTCGTTTTTTGTTTTTGAGGATGGAACAATTTCACACACAGATATAGGGAGGCTAGACCTATATATTATAATTGAATGTCACGAAGAAGAAGAAAATCTCCAAAATCATGTTCAGCTTAAGTCTCAGCAAAACTCAGAACATTTCTGGAGCCTTGTAGGACCCAGGAAAACGATAAGAACATCACCAAGCAAACACTGAACATGTCTGCTTTATTTGGATCTACATCCCTTTGTGAAGCAGCTTTTTCTGCATGAACGTCATGAAATCTAAATACAGAACAAGACTGACTGATGAACATTTAAATGACTATTAGAGTGAACCTAAGTGGGTCCAGCATACACCTGTATGGTGGACTCCATGCAGCGCCAGTCATCTCACTGACTGTGAAAAAGCGTGAATTCTCTTATTTTACACATGTGCTATAAGATGCTTGTAAGGTGGTGATCAAGGACATGTATGAGAATGTTCAGTGATGTACTTACTATGTGGGCCATAATAATATGTGAGAAATTGTCGTTTTCTTGGACCTTGATGTGAAGTAAAGATTTTTGATAAGCTTTGGGTATTGCAATTTCACACGAGTACAAAAGTAGCTTAATTCAACTGATGAGGGCTACAGTATGTGAATAAATGTAAGCGATGTGATGGAAGTAGCTCTTGGCCACTTTCATTTTTTCAAAGTAGCTCTCAGATGAAGAAAGGTTAGAGACCCCTGGTGTATAGGGAAGGGATGCAAATAATAAAATGTGACTTGACTTGAATTTTGAATTGAGCCGTCCCTTATAGATACTATCTCTTTACGTATTAGTGACGGGAATTCCGGCTCTTTCGGCTCCTAATCGGCTCTTCATTTTACCACAGAGTCTCAGTTTCGCCGCTGCGAGGCTCTGGCGCTCGCAGTTAACTCGCATGCTCCACTAGCACCCCCCGTCAAGGCTCGCCGGCAGTACACTTTCCGTCACAGGAACACGCTTTGCTGGCGGCGAAAATAATCCCACCAGACTCCTTTGCCCCTCCAACAGAGGGATGTCCTTGTCCTTTTTCCTTTTCCTCATTTCAAGCGATAAAAACTCTCAATCTTCTCTCGAATTATTGTTTTTTTTGTCAAATGACGGCAAGACGGCGGAAACGCTGCTTCCAACATTACATTAAAAAAACAACAACTTGGATTAATTAAGAATAGTAGAAAAGCATTATTGGTTATGATGCACGTTGCTCTGTAAGAGGTTCAGTTAGTGAGGCGAGTTGTTGTTGACGATAAAAATAAAAGGATTTCTCAAGAGAGGAGGACCTTATATAGTCCTATATGAAAGATAGATGAGGAGGAGGAACAGAAAGTAAATGTTCTCTGAGGAGAGTCATTGATTTTGAATTCTTTAAGAGCACAAGAACAATGAGCGGTGCCCTCAGAGACACAGCCGCAGATTGGGAGGGGTTACCCTGGTTGTCCAGCGTGTTGTGGGCCAGGTTCAGGGAGTGGATCACAGAGGCCGGGTTCTCAGACAGCGCCGACGCCATCTTCTGCGGAAAGTCCCTGGAGACAAAACGTTATAGAAGAAGGAATATGAGGCTATTGTGAAAATGCTGATTCAATACTGGTGTAAATCTGCCAGATAGATTTACTTTATGCAACTAAATGTACCTGGTAATTTTTCATTATTAAACCTACTGTTAATAAATGAAATACTCAAGAAGCTGCCCCTTTTTCAGAGATGAAAATAAGAAGAAAAATTTGGTTTTTCGTTGTTAGTCTTTACACACCAGTACAAATGCATACATAAACAGAACCTGTACACATGGTGAACCTTTTTTCCCCTGAGTCCCTACAAAGGCTACTGACGCTACCTTATTGATATAAAACAACTCTTGTGCTAAAGTTGACTTAAGATGTACTCACAACTATACATTTCAAAATAAAAGCTAAGTATTTAAAAAATGCTTGTACATTATTGGTTGTTTTCACTATATGTATATTGATATGCTGGGTAATGATTTTTGTCATTGGTGTGAATTTCAATGATAATATTGAATAGAGACAAAGGTTTTGATATTCTAGAAATGTCCGTAAATAAATATATTAATATTTTTGCTAGGAGCTAATGTAACTGCAGATGACAATGACTTATTTGGGATCAATCCCACTTCACTTAGAAATATTTCGTCAAGCATGAGCATGTGAAGTCAGGACTTGGCAGAAAAACATATATTTTCGAGGGCTGCATTGAATAGTTTGCAGCTTTATTCCCAACGTTGACATTTGAATACATTTATCTCGTCTATTTACTCTGTTAATCTGGCATTGCTGCACAGTTGCAGATAGAGAGTCTACATTAATACTGATAGTCTTATACTATTTGGATAGTTTCCGACTCCATAGATTCAAACATTTCCAATAACGGCCCCTACACAAGGCGGCGTACGTACGCTTCTGCCTATTCACTTTGAATGGGGTGACGTCACGCGTCGCCGAACTGCATTGTGGGAGCAAAGCGTAGCTTTCTTTCTCCGCGGTGCTCGCTGCAAAAGTAGAGCAATGTTCTACTTTTGACGCTTCGACGGAAGCGTCAGCCAATTTGAAATCATATGCCAGTACAAGCTCTAGCCAATGAAACCGCTGCTTGTGTGTCCGGGGCGGGAGATTCAGGTGATTGGTTGTTGGTCTACTGTAGCTTCAGACATGCCCACCGGCAAGCGACAACGCACGTCGCCGTGTGTAGGGGCCGTAACTCCAGAAGTAAAAGATTAAACATATATTTTGAAGATACCGATAAAACCCCAAATTCACAATGTGTTTGTTGTCATGAAATACTCTCCTTTGATACATATTTGTTGGGGGTAAACCTTTTAAATGAACAACACCTTAACTGCCTTTATAAAACAGTTTGCATCGCGTACGCACCTGTATAAACAAGGCAGTCTAACGGCACTATAAATTACATTTAAACAACAAAAACACCTTTTGTTTAATCTTTTCATTCGAGTGACTACATAATAAAACATGATGCGTCGTTCAAAGCTGTTTCCTTTGAGAGAAGCTTTGAACTTAAAGAACGTTATGTACTTGCAAACAAGTGTTTGAAAGGAAAAGACACTTTTTTTCTTACTGTGCTGTACTTTCTCATTTGTGCCCGCAAATTACTTATAAATCAGATATTGAAAAGGTGATAGGAAGTATGGTATTTAGCTGGGAGTCTATAAAGTCACATACTTTAACATTCACTGCACTCTTTGAGCATCTTTGTATAAAAAGGGATTTCTTTCTTCCCTGTTAGAGTTTGGTGCAGTGCTTGTCTAGAGCATTAAATACAAATTGCCCTCTTTATTAGGTTTAACACATTGAAAATATAAACATTTGGTACCTCATTATTATTTGGCAATAAATCCTGTGGCCTTGAGGCAGCCAATTCATCTCAATGAATACGTAATAAAGAAAAAGACTTCGCTACATGATCCTAACGATGCATAGAAGGGGAGATTTCTCGCCAGGTGAAGCCCAAAAATATTCTCAAACGTGGGGAAAATAACCACGCACAGACAGGAGAGACCTTTATCTGGAGAAGGTTAACAGAGGTGTGAGAGGGAGAAAGAAGAGGAGAGACAGAATTTGAAAGGTTAACACACAAGGGGAGGAGGGGAGGTGGGAAGGGCTGAGGTGAGGAGGGGAGGTGGGAAGGGCTGAGGTGAGGAGGGGGGTGGGAAGGGCTGAGGTGATGAGGGGAGGGGTGGGGAAGGAAGAGGGAAGAAAGAGTACAAGCAAAGCAGAGAAAAGGGAAGCGAAAAACCGGGGCGATTATAAAAAGGACAAAAGAGAAGAGGGATAGGTGTTGTCTGAGAGGACAAGGTGGGAGGAGAGGAAGAAAAGGAGAGGAAGTTGGATTAACAGAGAGGTGACAGGGCGGGAGGAAGATGTCAAACCTACGATTTCAGTCCTGCGTTCTCCAGAGTGAGCTCCTCCAGAGTGTTGGACTTGCTGACTGTGTGCAGAACCTGGTCCACCACCTCGGACCCCTGGAGGAAAAAGAAAAAAAAACCTGAAGGCTCCTGGGACGAGGGGGCTCAAAAGGAAGAGAATGTAAAAGCAAGAAGTAGTCTGAAGCAACCGGAGTCTGATTAGGATCGGTAAAGCCTGATTAATGGATTGCTGATTTTACACTTTCAAAGTAGTTTTGTGAAAGCCACAATTTTCTAAATGCACAATGAGATAAATAGCCTCAAGGACTATGTCTAGACGTACATGAGCAGAGGTGATATTGGTCTAACATATCTGTGTCTTAGTTTCTTAAGACAAACATGTATTTATTATATTTTAGCAACTACAACACACACTAGACGTTTGAGCAAAGTTGATATCACATATTTTAGATTTAGTCTGACTCGTTAGAAAGAACATGTCATGAAAAGTCATGACTTCAGACATCTTTTGGTCATTATTAGTCAAATGTTTATTCTTTTAAGATTTTTCCTTTAATTAAAATGTTGTTTACCTTTTGGGTTGTCAGATTATTATTATGTCAAAGTCAATAATCAGAACCCTTTTTTCAGCCTCAAAGAAGTCCAGTCTCAAAATGAAAATGCTTATTACGGTAGTTTTAGGCACATTTTTGTAATTGTTATGTAATATTTTAATCGAACTTGAAATATTGTACTGTTTTAGTTTACATTTTTATCAATTTTAAGTATTTACGGGTCAAAATATTTACTCATTATTTCTTTCGTTAAAGCTCGTTTCAAATACCACATTTTGTCATCAGATTATAATGAACATTTCAGTCAACCAAGTATTGAAAAAAATCAATAATCATCACCATTTTTGAGCCCTGTCCACTTCAGACCCTCTAAAATAACAAGGACCAATCAAACTACAGATATGTATGAGTCTTGAAAGGGAGGGGTGTTCAGTTTGTTGCAAAACTCAACCTTGCGCTGCCAAATGAAGAAATTGTGTAGGTAGAGACTCAAATTTGGAACGGTTCTTATAAGCCTTTATGTGATTCAGGAATGAGAGACCAATCTGAAGGGCTTGTTGACTCCCATGTTTTCAGACCGAGGCAGCCAACCAAAAAACTGCTGGTTGCCCTTTTTGGTTTGTTTGTTGACTGGTAGTCACTCTAGGTGCCAACATCTGTTTTAAACGGTTCTTTTGAAATTTGAAACCACATATGAGGGGCATTAATTATCAAGATATTACATTACAAATAATACTTGTTTGTTTAACTGAGTGTTTTCACTTAAGATGGATACCACTCACTCTAATGCACAATATGAATATTTAATAAAGATTCACATCCTCTTTAATAGGAACATAAAACAATGCTGACTCAGCGTTCTCTTTCAATCATGGGTTTCTTAACTTGCTTTCATTTAGTATGTCATCTCAAGAGATGTAATGACAACACAGTGAGGATCTATGTACAATACACGATGAATTGGTACAAACCCATAGCCATATTGATTCATGTTGACTGAAAATGCTAACCATTCTGTAACCATCTGGCAAAAGTGAGGAAGATTTAAAAAAAAAAAAAAAAGATAGTTACTATGCGCATGTCTTTGCAGTGCAGCTTGGTGAACCAGGTGTTGTACGCAATGGATGCCACGATTACCGCCAAGTCCCTGAAATGGAGACACACACACACACACACACACACACACACACACACACACACACACACACACACACACATATTAGAGATAGATTCATATCTTTAAATTAGCAAACTCCATCTGCTCCAAACCATTTGAGGTTATTGATCCATAAATTCACATTATCGTGGGCCAAACTCTTTTTTTCTTTACTCCCCGTTTAGTAAAAAGCAGTTCATCATTGTGACAGGGAGTACACTCGGGGCAGGGCTGCTTTCTAAAAGATGACTGATACTGCAGCCCTGCTGAGGAGGAGGAGGAGAAGACGCAGAGAATAAGGAAAAGGGGGGTGGGGGGGAAAGATGGAAAGATCGATGCCGGGGTCAGTGGATTACTCATTCAATAAAGCCACAGTTTGATCCTAGCTGCAGACCTCAAACACTCCTACATCCACTGCTACCATCCTCTGGGTGTTTGTGAGAGGAGAAAGCGAGAGTTTTAGAATCCTCCGAGGTCCAACTAATGCCACACCTGCTATATATCATCTGCCAAACAAGCAGGGAAAGAGAATAAGCCCAGAGAGAGGGAAAAAAGGAGAGACATAGGGAAACTACAAAGTGAAAAAGAGAGGAAGAGAAATTGTAATTTAGCCAGGGAGGGGTCCTGTTGCCAGTAACTGCAGTAGCTAGACATTAGTGTAGATCTCCGTGGAGTAAAAACGGCTTCAGGCTGTGTTCCTTTTTCGGGAAAAGCCATCACTGCATACCAGTTCATTCTGACTGGCCCGTCGGAGTCTGTGTGTGTGTGAGAGGGCAGAAGATGTCAAGATTCATCATCAACACTGACTGTTGATTTATGTTTTGACAGCAGGACATGTAATTGACCTCTATGAGGTTTCACTCAGTCATGCGGCGAGTTGGTGTTCATGTGTCGTCTTGGACTAAACTCATCTCTTTCGACTCCACTTTGACCAATACAATTACTAACTAAGCACTTATATACTAACTAAGCACTTATATACTAACTAAGCACTTATATACTAACTAAGCACTTATATACTAACTAAGCACTTATATACTAACTAAGCACTTATATACTAACTAAGCATTCATATACTAACTAAGCACTTATATACTAACTTATACTACTAAGCACTTATATACTAACTAAGCACTTCATATACTAACAAAGCACTTATATACTAACTAAGCACTTATATACTAACTAAGCACTTATATACTAACAAAGCACTTATATACTAACTAAGCACTTATATACTAACTAAGCACTTATATACTAACTAAGCACTTATATACTAACTAAGCACTTATATACTAACTAAGCACTTATATACTAAACTAAGCATTCATATACTAACTAAGCACTTAATACTAACTAAGCACTTATATACTAACTAAGCATTCATATACTAACTAAGCATTCATATACTAACTAAGCACTTATATACTAACTAAGCACTTATATACTAACTAAGCACTTATATACTAACTAAGCACTTATATACTAACTAAGCATTCATATACTAACTAAGCACTTATATACTAACTAAGCACTTATATACTAACTAAGCACTTATATACTAACTAAGCATTCATATACTAACTAAGCATTCATATACTAACTAAGCATTCATATACTAACTAAGCACTTATATACTAACTAAGCATTCATATACTAACTAAGCATTCATATACTAACTAAGCATTATATACTAACTAAGCACTTATATACTAACTAAGCACTTATATACTAACTAAGCACTTATATACTAACTAAGCACTTATATACTAACTAAGCACTTATATACTAACTAAGCACGTATATACTAACTAAGCACTTGTGACAGTCGCAGATTGATCTCAGTGTTTCTTATAAACTGTAGGGGCAGGGGAAAAGGTTAAGGCATGTAGTTTAGATTCAAATTAAATGAAAATCTATGATGCATGTGTATTATCCTCGCAACTACAGTCGTTAAATGTCCACTTGTATGTAAGGTTTGAGGGTGTGGTTCTGCAAGCCTCATTTGCATATTCACCTGTCGCGGCGCACCCAGAGGCTTTTTAGTGGGCGCGTCAACAGGATGATATAGGTGGTTCTCACGGGAGGAGGAAGCCTATGTGTGGTGAATGCGGGTATTCAGCGGGATAGTTACGTTTTCTCAGCATGGATATATGTTAAAATGCAATGGGGAAGTAACTGAAAGTAACCGTATGTGGATATTGCATCGACCGACCTGGAAGCACGTCTCCTTGGAGAGGACGCGCACAGATGGAGAGATTCTCTCCGACACAGGGTGAGATCGCTCCTTTGTGCCACGCTGGACCTCGTGTTTCCTTTTTTGTGTGGAATATAACCTGAAAAGGCCTACAAACATTTCTGTTTTTGCCGCCGACGGGCGCAGGAGCAACAGCCTTTTTTTTGTCAATGAACAATAGCCTGGATTAGGCAGTAAAGACACTTGGTGTGTATCGCAGAGCGGACTGTTTAATTTTGTTTCTGTTGTTTGGCTGGAAAACTGTCAATATAATGGATCCATGCATGAAATCTGTCTCTGTTTATTTTGTTTAAGGAGCAGATTATCCGTTTATTATTTCTGTTTACCTTTATAATATTATTTCATTCAAGAACCCCTTGTGCGTTTAATTAACACAACTATTTTAGATAGTTGATCGTTACACACTTATATACTAACTAAGCACTTATATACTAACTAAGCACTTATATACTAACTAAGCACTCATATATATATATATAGTAATAAGCAGTGCACCTTTCTTACTGTCCTAAATGTGCACAATGTAGTGACTGCTTTTTCGTCTTTTGTTTACTTAGTTGTGTTCTCAGTATTTTACATGTCTGTGTTATGTGTAACGTTGCTGCCTTCTTGGCCAGGTCAGCATTGTAAATGAGATTTTATCTCAATGCTTTTTATCTGGTTAAATAAAGGTTAAATACAAATAAAAATATACTAACAAAAGGGCTGGCTTACCTAAAGCCAGTTGAGTAGCACTTGAAATGTTTGGCTCTATGAAACCTGATGTACTTATATGATTCTGTTTTCTTCAAGGTTGTGTCTTCCTGGTCGAATGCACTTATTGTAAGTCGCTTTGGATAAAAGCGTCAGCTAAATGCAATGTAATGTAACTGCAGGTCAATCTGTCACTTGTTTACACTTATACACTCCGATCTACTTGGGTTTGGGACAGGAAACTCATTTTAAGATAAGATCAGATAATAAATAGTCTAGATTTAGGGTAAAGGTACAAATTAAATCGGGGGTAAGGGATTTAGAGAACTTTCTAGTTTGAAAAGTGCTTACAAATACACATTAGTATGTGTATACAAGGTGAATGACACGTTTTATATAAACCAATGCAAACAAAGACACTACTTTGATGTATACGTTACTGTGTATGGTCTAAGGCTGCCAGGGAAATATATATATAGGGGAAATATGCCTATCCACTCTCTGGCGGAGAATGTATACCCCTCTCATGTCTATCAATGAAAAGCTCCGGCCACCAGCAGCCAATTAGCTATTCTGTTTTGCTATAGAAATGATGAGATGTTAAAGGTCCCATGTCATGCTTTTCTGGTTCTTACCCGTCCCCTTGTGTGTTATGTAGCTTTTTCTGCATGTGAACGGTCTGCAGAGTCTCAAACCCTCAAAGTACACTCTGTAGCGAGTAAAACTCTAACACAGAAAATACCTGTCTGTGCTGTCCCAGAAACGCCTCGTTGGACAGTTCTCTTTTTCATTGTGTGTCTTCCTGGGGAGTAGGGACGGGACCGGACCCAGGTGGACACACACACACACACACACACACACACACACAACCACACACACACACACACACAACACACAACACACACACACACACACACACACACACACACACACACACACACACACACACACACACACACACACACACACACACACACACTACACACACACACACACACACACATCACACACACAACACACACACACACACACACACCACACACACACACACACACACACACACACTACAACACACACACACACACACACACACACACACACACACACACACACACCACACCACACACACACACACACACACCACACACACACATCACACACCACACACACACACACACACACACACACAACACACACACACACACCACACACACACACACACACACCACACACACACACACACACACCACACACACACACACACACACACACCACTTTTCTCAGCTGCGGCTCCACTTGAACAATGTAAATATATTCTAGTAGACCTCAACAATGGAATGATGATCAGTAGAAATGGCCATGACATGGGTCCTTTAAGCTAGCCATATTTTCTGTACAGACGCAATATTAAAAAAAGAAACATAGTATTACTTTTTTTGCAATATACATTGCGGTATAAATACATTTGTTTCCACATAACAGAATAGTTTTTTTTTAAAAATGTAATTGCATCGATCTGGGGCACTTTGACGACAAAATAAGAGTTTATATAACCAAATGAATCGTAAAAGCATTGGTTGTATAAGATGACAGCACAAGGTCACACTCACAAAGCATATACATTGACACTGGCAGGCTTGTTGTTAAAGAGGGGACAGGTAGGTTGTTAGCCACCTTAACCCAGGACGTTCAGCTGGTCACGACATGGGAGAGAATGTTCCCACAGTGAGTTTATCTGCCGATATTGCACCTCTTGCGATGTAATTGGCCATGTCTCGTCTAAAACTATATATTGTGCAGCCTTACCATGCAGAGATCTACATGAAGTCATGTCCACCCGAGCAGACACCCAATTGGGAATCAAAAGAACCGATAGAGCATGAGCTGACTATATCCTTTCGGAGCTTTATGAGGCTTTTACTGGCCATTCAACGATCATGAATGGATGAAAACTAACGTTATTATGATCCGAGGTTGACCTTCTAAGAAACTTTAAAGGCTCCATGTATTACAGAGAATTATGATTATAATATTCTATAGACCTTGAAAAAGGTTAAGATAGATAATTTATCCTGAGATTTCACAGGCGAAAAGGTCACAGGGTCCTCTGAATCAAAGGCTCCCTGGGTGCATGACTGTGCTCACAGCATCTCATGGCAGTAAGCCTATTAGATAATGTAATAGCTTGTGAATTTGAGTTGAGGGAAGGACATGAGGAATCCAAAACATTCTTTCAGGAGAATTGATCTGCAGTGTAAAAGTCATGGCTCATTAGATTTGTGTGAAATAAGTGAAAGATTTTTCTTGTTGTAGTGTTAGACAAAAGGTCACCAGGGGTCGGCAAAACATTTGTATTCACCTTAGAATGAATATGTATGGCTCTTTGTGAGAATATCCTGGCCATCGAAGGTGGATATTCTGAACTAATTGTTGGCACTAGAGGCAGAAAGGTCAAAAGGCACTAAATTCCTTAGGAATCATGCATTTATATTATAAATATTCAAAATAGATTTGACAGCAATTTGGCTGATGGTTGATCCAACCACCCTTCATAGCCAGATGGAAGATGATTGGTTTTTGAAGCACGCAAAGAGGCTGTATGGTAATAAATCCACGCTACAGTCTAACCCCGGACAGTCAGTGACTCTGTCCTCTAACATTGACAGGTAATGCCGACGGTAGCAGTGAGCTGTAGAGCGCCAGTCCTGCTCCAGTAAGAGAACGAACAATCCAGACAGAGAAGTTGGACAAGGCATCCAGGCGTGAAATTGTCACTCTCACACACACACACAAAACAAACGGAAATATATGCAAGCCCACAATCTCAACCTAAATTCAAACACACTCAAATAATGTGTGTCAATTCAGATACTTCCCTCTAGTTATAACTTTATTTTATATTGCCGTGTTCACCAGAGCAATCGCAATTGCAGCAGGTTGCACAACTTCCGTTATGTAGCCAAGATGGCGACCGTTGAAGTGTTCAGCGCTCCCATGGATGCATAATCAGAACTGGCTACAGCGTGACAAATTACCTGTCATGCCTGGCTGTCAGAGCAGAAGTACCCGTATGTGCACACACAGAGCATGCCCAGTTGAGTTTCCCCTTAAGCCCCGCCCCCAATCTCACGCTTTCGGCTCAGTAGAATGTATGGATAGAGAAAATACATCTGGATTGGCTTTTAGCACATTTTACAACCTTTAAAGGTGAGGTAGGTAAGTTTCAGAAACCGGCTCGAGATACACTTTTTGTTATATTCCATGGAATGCTCTTAACATCCCGAAAGCAATGAATATCTTAAGTGCTTAGACAAAAAATCCATAAAAAAAATTCATCTGTGGAAGCCGTGATACTGTAAAAAGTACAAACAATGGAGGAGGTGCTCTGTAAGGAAGTCTGAAGGAAGGGGCGGATTCTTTTCGGCTGTGTACTTTCAAATTGTAGTGCACTCGAGCCGGTTTCTGAAACTTACCTACCCCACCTTTAAACGTAATGATTTAAATAAGGGCAATAAACTGTTAATACTGGGTCGTTTTTTTTGTTTTAAAAAAAGTATCTGCTGATATAGAGACGTCTCTTTCCCAATGTAAGTCAGTGGGAAAAAGTATTTCTGGGCCAGGTGACGTCACGGACAGATACAGAAGTGGTAGTACTGCCGTTTGGCTACTACGAATATTTTCCTCAGAGTCTGAAGAATTTCTGGGGGCTTGAGTGTTCCCAACTAAACTTTTAACCATTTTGAGTGCCCTTTCTCATAGTGCACTTCATTTTGCAATTCTTCATACTGGGACACACTTATGAACTCGCAATAGCAAATGTAAGTAGCAAAGTACAAGAAATCAGCCACGGTGAAAGTCCATTCTGCAATATTGTGTAAACCTGCAGTGGCTAGACGCAGAGACAGGCAAAGTGTGTGTTTGTTTATGATGAGAGGAGTGATTCAGAGAGAAGACAGCTAGAAGAACAGAGCTGGGGAAAATAAATAGTGAAGGAGGGAATATGAACAGGACGAGACCAGAAAAAAGGGTGTCCGCTTTCAGCCAGGATGCATGAGTGGAGCTGATGTTTGGACGGACAGCACAGCAGTCAGCAGAAAAAGGCATTGCTTTGTTGCCCGCGGTAACGTCAGATGGGCTCGATCAGGGTAGATTGAAAGGATGTATATACGGAAGGACAAGAAGAGGAGGAAGGAAAGTAATGCACCAAAATGGTTTCTGGCACACCATCATCAAGACCTTTTTGTTGTATTGTTTCTCTGCATGTCTTTGTGATTCCTTTCTGTGAGTACTTTTGTTAAATCTTTGATACAAGTTTGGTAGAAAAGCAGGGAGAGAGTCTTCATCATTCTATTGTGGGCTCAAGGGAACAATGTTTTATAGGAAGATGTAAAAAAAGCATTGGGTATGCAGCTTCCCCTGCAAAGGCTCTCTTCATCAATCTATTTAAAATATTGGAGGATAAACAACAGCGAGGACGCGATTTTCAATATGAACAATATTAATATATTCATGAGTCACTGCTGCAATCACGCGTCTATGAATGGATTTTTGATTTAGCAGCATAGCAAGGCTTCGCTTCTACGGTGTTATTAGAAACACGTTTTTAAATAGGAATGCATCCCCTCCAGTTGGAATTGTTGTTTCTACACGGAAAAGTAGAAATAATTCCCGAAGGCCTTTGGACAAAACATTCCTCGAATCAAAAGCTGAGGAAGCTATGTTGAATGCTCTCTTTGCATGTCAGCTGTCAAATGTTGTTATGATCGGCAGCACTCTACGGCACGTACACTCTTCCTCAATATCTCTGGGAAAGCAAATGGGGGATTTCAAAAGATACCAGCGGGGAGTAGAGGAGACGACATATGGCATTTTACAGCTGTTTGTGAGTGCTGGATTCTGCCTTCGACAAGCTCATCATTCCACTTCTTTGTGATCTTTCAACACTTCTTAAAAAACTGAGGAGAGAAACAGGACAACAAGTGAGCCAGAAAGGGAACGACAGACCAATACACTTAACACTTTACCCAGGGAGGGTCTTGTTAAACCAGCAGCTACTCTCCTGTCAGATAAGAACAGGGCTGACAGAAGTCTGGAAAGCAATTCTTGCAGAACATCGTGAAGCAGGATGAGGATGGAAAGTCTTTCAAAACTTCAGTCTCAAAGTATTAGGACAATGATATGTTGTTATTGCTTTGGGACTACGCAGTGGGTTTGAAATGAAATGCTGCAGTCACAATCCCACACATTTCAGTCCTGGTTGATTGTTAAGGATGGCATATGGAGGTTGAATTACAGGTCCCATGGCATGTGCATCGACCACTGGTGGCAAAGAAAACCACTCCTAAAACCTCCTTGAGCAGATATTCTATCAGAAATGCAATAAAAGAGGATATATCAGTTTGTGCACCGAAACAAAAATGGGATGTAAATAAAGTGTATTGGTTGAATAAAGAAGGCTGACTGAATTAATCGTTCAGCTACACATGTTAATGTCTTGAATTGGATTTGAAGAGTGGGTCATGACCGACAGAAAGAGATTGCGAATATAAGCTGCAGCTGGCATCAGAGTTAGGTATGGGGTGAAATGTTCAGTAATCCATGTGGGAGTCTGAGTAGAGCCAGTGCTCCTTTAAATAGAAAGGGTCCCGATGAGTTGGTCCGGGCACCTCGTAAGGCTGCCTCCCTCGGAAAATGTTGCCAGGGAAAGTGAAGTTTGGGAATATATTAACCCTAACCCTTGATACCGGAATCTAAAGAAAGATACGACCCCGTCATTTGGATCAAGTGCCACGAGAGTGTAAATTCAACACTGGATACAGTACACATTTCAAATTAAATAATTCCATGGGAAGAATTACTTTGACAAGACTTCTGCTTTAAGTTAAGGCTAAGGTGAAGAGCTTTTGCAATGCAACAAACAAGAGGGGTCATGAATAACATGATTTTTCAGCCAACTCTGACTGGGGGAAGAATAATCACACTGGTCCATAGCCTAGTTACATTCACAACAACAGCTCTGCCTGCACAGTATGGTGGATAATGATATATTTTCCTGGTAGTTGCCTTGGAACAACAGGGTCCAATATGTTCCACTGCTGGGGACATTATTAGGAGCGGATATACAGCAAACATCCGAGGGTAGAGAAGAAGACAAAGTTCATATGAGTGAACGGCTTTACATAAGTGTGATGTGGAAAGTTTGAGTAATGTAGGAAAAATATTCTGTCTAAAATTCTAACTTTTGAGACTATCAGCACATCATTAAACTTGTAAAGTAATTACATAAACTTTGAAGGAGCCAGTGAATGGCATTGAAAACCCAATGCCGATAAGTAGGAGAAGAAAGTAAAAAATCGGACAATAAACAATGGCTGCTAAGAATCTGGCGAAGCATCACAAAGGAAAATGCCAAATATCTGTGTGTTACAGAGAGCCACGCATTAACTCCAACTACTTCCTGTCCCCTAAATGCCCACTGATGTGAATTTAAACATCCTTAAATAAACGCTGAAAGTCAGCACTTAACCCTCATTTTCACTGCTTCATTTCAAATGTAATGTTCTGGAACAGACACACACACACACACACACATCGCACTGAGGGCTGCTGCAGTGTACATTTGGCTTCCATTCATAGTGTCTTTGCAATCAGTGCATGCTGGCAAACTGTAATCAGACTGGATGTGGTGCAAATGTTAACAAAGTGTGTCACCTGCTGTCGAGGTGGCTGAAATCCACTAGGTTGAACTCCCTGTTGTCCTGAGAGTGGTAGATGGTGTCGACATCCTGGAGCAGAGGAGGGGAGGGAAGAGAGGGAGGATGACAAGAAAGGAAACAAAGTACTTGTTACTGAAAAATATGAGACAGTAAAATAAAAAAAATGAGATATATTTGATGTATAAACGTCCTTACCCACTGCACTTCTTCTTTACAGCCGATTCCGTTGTAGTCACAAAGGGCCGCATAGGTCTCCGAAAAACCTCCTGAAGATAAGATAAATTAAAATGTAAAAATAAGGCATATTATATATGGAAGTGAAATATGTTTCTTATTGTAGTGGTAGGCGGGGGTCATCAAAAACATTATTATTTGAATTGTAGGTATGTATGAATATTTATAGCACTTAAAACATTAAAGCCAGGGAAGAATATAGCAATACTTTAAAAACTATAGCGAAGAATATTATGAAAGACATATAAATGAATATTTATAGCGCTTTTTGAGAATTCAAGATTCAAGGCTTTATTGCCATGTAACTACAGTGTAGATATGGCAATGAACAACTGAAGTCCCAGGCTCCTCTAACAGTGCAACATGAATATATATAGGACATCAAACAAAGAAAACCAATTAAAAATGGTAAAATAAATAACAATAGAAATAAAAAAGTGCAAGAGAATGTTGTAAGATATATCCAAGCCATGGAAATATAGGTATTATATAAACCATTATAAAAAAATGTTTACAAGGAATAGAAATATGCAAAGAATGAAATACAATATGTTGATGTTCATTTCCTAATGGAAGTGTTTTCAGCTGTTTGCACCTGTCGGCCACCGTAGACTATACGACTATTCCCTTCACCCATTGCTGTCTCTAGCCCAAACACAAATAACACGTGCACTATGGGGGGAAATGAGTGAAAAGAAACGACACAAACTATCAATTAGGGGTTTAAAGATATAATAAAACTATACATATCTGAATAATTATAATAATAATAAGGTCAGAATGGATCAGGACAGAATAAAGCAGGGTAATGGAAGTATGGATGAAAGCAGGCCAGAGATGAAAGAGGAAGGCAGAAAGAGCAGAGAGAGATTAGCAGTAAATATCGAGGTGAGATGAAAGTGTTGCAGCATGAAAGAGCACTTCTTGTAGATTAATGGGATTACGAGCAGGAGAGGAGAGCATTCAGCAACTTTGGTCTGCTGACCCACTTTAGGATGAGTCTCCAAAAAGATTCACCCTGAGTCAGCGGGAGTGGATGGACTCTGAACTGTGTGTCCGATCGGGTTTTGTGCAATATGTAGACGTTAGCAGACGTACCGCATGTTTTCTGGGGATCCAATGACGATTCGGAGTTGGCTGAAAACTTGATACTTCCATCGGTCACGTCTCCTTCTGCTCGACAGATTGGAGGGCTGAAAGAAGAAGACGGAGAGAACGGGTTGAAACCATAAAAGAGTCTACAGCCATGGCTATATTTGTATATTCGTATACGCTTATACTGTATGTTGCACAATTTGTTTGCATTATGCTTCCTGTAATCTACCAATTTGGGCTGCACTGGGTGAACGGGTACATGTAATCATGTTAAGTTAAAAGGATCAGTAACCACCCATCATTTATTATTTTTGTATTTCATGTATTGACAGTTTATAGGGAAAACATTTAACACAAAAAGAGAGTAGGAATCGGCCGTATAGCTCGGTTGTTACAGCTGGCGTCACCCCTCCGTCTCCCCCTTTCTACACTGACACTTCAATAACCCCCCCCCACCCCTCCAAAAAAAGGAAAAACATTGATATATAGGTCCAATTATAAATATATATCTTAAAAGAACTATGAACTCTGGGTAGCTGGGGAAGGTTGCATATCGATGGATGGGAGCATGATGGTTATACAGTAGTTTAGGTCATAGGATGTTTCATTGAAAGTTACAATTATTTATTGTAATTGATTTGAAATTCTTGACCTGAGCAGATCAAACCAATGTCATTATCTTAGGTTGTCCTGAGTTGACATTATTTTCTTTTTTGATTGACACCATTAGTTTTGTATTTAAATCCATGCAACTTGTTCCTGTAAATGTATAGACATTTGTAAACGTACATGTATTTCCTATTTCAGATGCTTGACTTGACATCCATGGGGTTCTCTTCCATGTTGAATGTAAAGTTGGAAACAGGTAATCAAATCAAAAGGAGGCCACAAAAAAACAACTTTAAAACTAGTCTACAGCAGTGCTTCTCAAAGTGTGATCCGCGGACCACTGGTGGTCCGTGAGCGCCCCCTAGTGGTCCGTGAGTATATTGGTAAAATTTCACATTTGAAATAAATAAATACATTTAAGTTTTCCGCACTCTCGCGGGAATATCTCCGCAATGGAGCGAGGTTAAGTTTCACTTTCGATTGCATGATATAGCCCAGATAAACACCTTCATCACACATGTGGCCACTTGTTTGTACCATTTTCAGGCGATTTGTAAAAAACTGTGTTTTTGGATATTTGTGGAGTTAGGTGGTCCGCGAGTGTTTTTTTATTGGTTAAGTGGTCCTTGGTATGAAAAAGTTTGAGATACACTGGTCTACAGCCATGCTACTAGCTCTTTAAAGTCGTTCCTAGGTACAGCAAACCTATGAACTACGTTCCAAGTCCTTCGTGCTAACATGCACAATGACGGCCTCAGTGTTACTTTTTTGGATGTAAAGAGGTAGATATTACGAGCAACCGGCGCCACATATGGAGACTGCAGGTTTTACCAGGAGAGAGGAAAGTGCTGTAGGAGATTAGCAAGCAAGGAAACCAAGGTCAAAGAAGGAAATGCACTGCACACTGTACAGTCTGTCCCCTTGTATCTGAGGGAATGCCCACAGTGTCAGACCATAGAGAAAGAAATCATTGGATCACATAAGTCAAAAAGAAGTCAAAAAGGATTTAGCTTTGGTTGAGACTGAACTATCTTAATAGTTAGAATATGAATGGGGGTGACATTCTGCTTAGACATTCATGGTGCCCAGAGGATACATCCTAATGACTTCCATTATACTCCAGTCTAGTCCAAGTGGGCTTCATGAGGACACTGCTGAATGAAATATATTCTTATTGATGTTTTAAAGTTTTAAAGTTATCACATCTATTTATTTCATTTTAATGTTAACTTTTGATCTTAACAACACTCCTATTACTATTGGAAAGAGTTGGAAACTATCGTAATCCAATTCAACAAATAGTATACTATTAACAATAGTGTAGCATTATCTTTATACACAACTATGCAAAATTACTGTGTCCAACTAAATGAAAAAAACTAAAATGGTTAACATTATAAGTGAAGCTTCCCTACAGCACACTCCGGAGGAGCACTGCCTTGACTTTTAAGAAGCAGTGTTATGAAAGCCTCTGGTCCCAATTACACGCTGGGGAATGAGAGGAAGGTAAATATTACGCTTCCCACCCCCTTAGCTCCTATTGCTGAAGTGCCCTTCAGCAAGGCACTGAACTCCCAACATCCCCCACCAGTGGTCCCAGGTGAGAATAATCAAGACTTTAACTTTTCAACTGCCTGCTAGCACCCTTAAAAGGTGGGGTAGGTCATTTTGGAGAAACCAGCTCGAGTGCGCTAGAATTTGAAAATACACAGCCGGGAAAAATCTGCCACTTCCTTACAGAGCCCCTCCTCCAACACACATGAACGCGCACATGACCAATGAGGGCACGAGATAAGTTTGTGCACAGATGGAAGGCTGACAGGAAGGTAGGCCATCCAGTTATTTTAGTCGGGCCGGCTGAAATGATTGGTCGTGCTTTTTACAGCGCTACGACTTCCAGATACATTTTTTGGTATTTTTTGTCAAAGCATTTAATATATTCATTGCTATCGGGATGTTAAGAGCATTCCATGGAATATAACAAAAAGTGTTTCTGAAATAAATGACATACCCCACCTTTAATGATATGAGTAAAAATACTTTCTCATACACCTAAGAAATTAAGATTTAAATCCAAACGGTGAACTTACTAAACAGAACACAGCAGCATAAAATGTTTTAAAATAATAAAAACTGGAAATGTTTCGGGACGTTGAAAAGCGTTTGCACCTGCCGGCCACAGTGGAATTAGGATTGAAGTGAACGTCTGCAATGTTGTCGGAAATTGCTCATGACATTGCTTTGCTTTTGAATAAATAACACGTCAACTGTACATTTGGATCCCTGTGATGCTTTGATAAGCTACCGTCCTTAGTGTTGATCTATATTTTAAAACAAAAAACATATTCCTGTGCTTACTGCTTGTTTTCTTTCAACTATTCCCTTGGAAAACCGCATGCCGTAAGCAGAAAACAGTGAGGACAGGGATCAGGAAGTTAATACACTGTTTGTTCCTAACACTGCTCTACCTGCTTTGGCTTTTTGATCGGATTACACCAATATACTGTCGCTTTCAACACACTCCGTCCTTAATCCCATTTGTCAACAAATCACACACCTAACCACATGGGTGACCTTAATCCCCAATTTATCTCCACAATCATCACCTGCCCCAGGAGCCATGTGTGTATATATGTGCGCACGTTATCTCGACACTATCTGCATTGTGTACAGCATCACAAGGCTGCGCAGTGAAACCCACAACAACTTCCTCCCCTCTCTCGTTGTACTCTTTAAAAGTTCTCACTGGCAGCAATCATCTGCTGCGGCCCTAATGGAAAAGAGCCATTGGGAAAGATGATGGAGAGCGGTGATAGCCTTGTGCAGGTCAATAGGCGGAGCAGAGTCAATCCCGTTGCTCTTAGAAATCGTAAATGAGGACATATGGGGACAAAAAGTATCAAGGGGTGGATTTAACAGGCTTTTATTTTGGTGTGTGTCCTCTGTGCTTCACTCTTTAGGAAGTAGAGGACGTACACGGTCCACTTGAAGGTTTTTCATCCGTGTAAGAGTCTTTTTGACTGGAGTTCTATTGCTCCGTCATTGACTGTGTGTTTCTTGCTTACACAAAATAAGCTGCCTTCAGGTAACAGCCTCCTCATTGTCAGCTGGTTGATTTAATCCCGCTGATTGCCGGGTGTTAAAGTCTACCGTGACACAGAAAAAAAGGGTTCGGATGCAAACGACAGCAATACGAGGATGCATTTGGCTGCTGAAGAGGAAAAGCGGCCTCTGAAAGTAAAGCTGCCAACTCGTCAGCGGACTGTCGAGCGCTGTTAACGCCCGCCAACTTGTCTTCTCTCCTAGGCCAGTACAAAACACAAAACTGAAAAGATTTGTTACTCGTCCCGAGGCGAGGGGGTGTGCCAGGATTTCTTACGCGTAAATGGAGTTGTTGAAGACTCGGGAGAGGGAGTAGTTGATGTGGCTGACCACGTGGTTCAGCTGCTCCTGGTTCTGGAGCTTCAACGAGTAGGTGGTCTTGTCTGTATCGATGACAACCTGTATATGGACAAATGACGATTTTAATAGTGAGACGTCATGCTGCTATGAAACAGCAGGATTTGTTTGTCGGTGTGTCACCTGGTGTTCCGGATAGGTGTTCATGGCTCGGATTTCCAGGAAGTTGAAGGTGACCTCCGTCTGAAACAGCAGAAAGATATCACTGTGGTTCACGCTGACATGCTGTCAAAAGCCCTATCTTATTATATTGTCTTCTAAAAACACGACATATTCAGGGTTCTCACACCTTCTTAAACATCATATTGAAGACTCCTCAAAGGCTAATTCCTTTAAATGTAAGGACAAAACATGGTATAGTTTGAGAATATTTTTGATTTGATCAATGTTGTATAATTTAACTGTAACATGTTTTGTGATTTGTTTTCATTAATAATGGTTGAGTCTTGTATCAGAATTCATTTCGTTTTGTGTGCCTCTTGAGAAAAATAACTAAATTAAAGTATGGAGAAAAACAGGTTCATGATTTACCCTTCTGAAATCCACAAACTTTTAAGAAACATGAACAGTCAAAGGATCGTTCATGTTGTATGCAACCCCAGGTAAGCTACATTGAGCAGAAAACAGTCAAATCACAACCCTGTTAGCTATTAACATTCATCACAGGGGACTAACTGTGCTGACTGTAGTCGTGCACACCGCTCCACTGACGGGTTCATAATATGTTGTGTCCTCAGTTTAAACTGTTGGCTTGCTTACTTCCAGTTTTTGCTGATGTCATGTATGCAGCAACTCAGGACAGCCCTTATTTCTTTTAATGATATTCATTCAACAGGTATTTTGCGAATTCAATGGATTGTGCATCCCTAAGAGTAGCTATAGCTGGGTGTGGAATGATAGTTCAACTGGAACTGTGCCACAGTAAACAAAAGAAAGCTCTTGAACTGTTGACTTATTTACAGCCTGTATGATTTACCGCTCCTGTTTCTGGCCCTCTTAAGGCTGTGTTGTTGTGATGTTACCGTTGTCCCAGATCTCATCAGTTATTCTGATGTGTGCGCTGTTATAATGACTGTTATAAGGAATGGCAGAAACAACATCAAAATGGGACCCATGGTAAATAACACATACTTTAAAAGTAGTTGGACATTTTTGGAAATTAGCTTGTTTTCTTTCGTTCAAAGTGTAAGCATAAAAACTGTGAACAGTGAGGAAGGCAAACAAATCAACTGAAGGGCTCGTGATTATTCACTACAATCATTTGTTGTCTTTCAATGGACTCGTATCGTGTTGAAATCATTTAAAACAATCATATAGTCCAAATAATGATTATAACTAGCTTGAATTTCTCTGAATTAATTTTGAATACATTTCAAACTTCATTTTGCACTAAAGTATATTATCTGACAAGACAATACACTAGTTCCTGGACTAATGATATAAGTATTTATTTACTATTTTACTAGTAAATATGCTATACTGTGATATATATTGTTATCGAGATAAGGAATTACCAATATCAGGATAAAAGATAGCTATTTTGACAAGCACCTCAAAAGCCTTTTGACTCATTTGATTGTGTGTGGATTAAACAAACAGGAAACAAGTTGAAAGAAAAACAGTTAATAATAAGCTAAGAAAACAAACCGCTGTAGCTTCGTATTTAAATAGTATTGATATTTTAAAGCAGCCTCTGCAATAAGGTGAATAAGCATATTTCACAAAATGACAAACTATTGCCTTAAATAGCTAACATCGTGCCACCATCTTCATCATCATCATCATCAGTGTAGTAATCCCTATCATTCAAAAACATCATCCCCGCAGTCATCATTTTTATCTCCTCTGAAAGTCTGCAGCTTTTTTTGTCACATCTCTTAGGAATTACCATAAGATCAAGCCTGGCAAGTGAAAGCCATCAAATTCCACAGAGAGTGGGGGGAGGAACATTTTACCTTGGTGGGCACCTTGACAGCGAAGAGATACAGTCTCCATGTTGCCAGGACCTGAGGGGGAGAACACATTCATTTTTTTGTCACGGAGCAGGAAACACAAAAAATGCAAATGGCAGCAGAAAACAGCACGGCACAAACAGCCCCATAAAAGCGAGCAAATCATGTTCCGCGGCTCGTCCCGAGGACTCGTAAGTCACGCTAAGCACCGCCGACATTAGCCGGGTAATGATGATCGCGTGTGGGAAAGAAATATTGCGAGCTCGATTGAGAGTCAGATGACGCTGTCCGATTTAAGTTGTATTGATGGAACCAAGTAGCACTTACTCAACATATGCCTGATTGGAGGGAAGCAAATCGATAAAAGGGAAGAACAAAGATAGGAGGGAAGACGTGAGCTTTTGCTAATAGAAATACCATTTTTAAAAAGGGGTCCAGGGTAAAGTAAGAGACAGAAAATATGAATATATTTGCATCTGCCTATGTAATTAATCTCATTCATAATTCAAAAATCCCCAATTAGCATACCCCATGCATGCACTGTGGATCTATATCGCTCCCTAACTCCTACTCAGATCCTTGGCCCTACTTTTTTGTTGTTGCATTCTGTCATTTCTCTTCATCTCCATTGAAAACTGTTCATTCTCCCCATCTTCTCGCTTAATCCCTCCATCTCCCAGTGTGCCTCTGTCTGGGTCTGCTCCCGCCTCAACACCTCACTCCACCCCCCCCCCCCCACAACAAACCCCCTTGTCTCCTTTCCCGTTTCAGTTTTTCTTTTTCTGCTCCGTCGCTTTCAATTCCTCAAGGCCTCTCTGCGCTGAATGGCTAATGGCACCCTGCTGTGTGGCGTCGAGAGGAAGAAAGGGAAAAGAAACGCACAAAGAGAGAAGGGAGAGTTAGAGGAGGCGATGGAAGGACGGAGGAGACACCAGATTTCCCCTCTTGATAATGAAGTCTAAAGATACTACACCTACTCCCTGAGAAGCTCGCCCTCGCAGATCAACCTACGTGTCTTAACTGTATAGACGTCCATAACAGACTCCTGCAGAGAGGAGACGGGGGAGAGGAAAAAAGGGAGGAGACGGAACGATACCCCCATCGAGAGAATAAGATCTCTGCACTAAGCTGGTGGAGGGGCCTTTTCGCAGGAGATTGTTAGTCCAATCAAAACGCCTTGACAAGTTTGAAAACTTCGAGGCAGCGCAGAAAGAAACAATTAAAGACAGAAGCAACTTCTTGCTTCAAAAGCCTCACAAGCTGACAGATGATCTCATAATGTTAACAGAGGCATCAATAATGCAGCTCTCTGACGGGTGCACACTTCATCCTTTGATGCTGAACAAGCGCAGGGTTTGTCCTCTCTCGATATATCATTTACAGACCTTTGAGGTATCATAACAGTCAATACTCCAGGCAGTTATTTTTCACTCAGATGGGGTTTGTGCAGAAATGAAGAATCATATCTAGGGGAGTTCCATTCAATATATGAGATGAAACAAATGTCTCCCTTTCCAAATAAAAATGTCACTTCGCTACAACCTCCCTGCGCTCCATTGCCCCCAATAATATGAAGGGCAGGATCAATGCTGTGAGTAGGCTCCTCATTTTTACAGCGTGTCTACACAAGAGTGCTGATACATACGCTCTGTGTTATACTGATGTGCCATATCATTTAATACGTTTTACCACTCACAGCCATGAATATATGCATGGCTCTTTTTCTTTAGGGTCCAAGCACCATTAAAGTCGGGTCAAATTGCCTTTTTTGTAAATTGCAGGAATCATTATTCTTTTGTTTACAAATGAAAAGCATTGAGGCCGGAAAAATGCTCCAAAAATCTCCAATAAAATGGTTCTTCTTAATCGGGGAAATCTATGGCTGGTTTCAATAGACCAATTAAATCACTAGTTTCAATCCGCCAATCAGAAGGTTACTTTGAATTCGGCAATCAAGGGGTAATTTCAGTCTGCCACTCAGAGGCTTCATTTCAATGGGCCAATCAAAGAGCACGTCTTTATTGGCAAATAAAATGTTTCGTTGCGATTGGCTAAACAGCCCTATCAAATGGCATATTTCGATCAGCCAATCAGAGGGATTGTTTGAATCATCCAATTAAATGGCTTTTTCAAAGGCAATGTAAGGTGACAAAACTGTCAGCCTTTGTCCTAATAAGGGTTTGGTGTATTTGGTTTTCCAAAGTAAAAAAAAGTCTCTCTCTGAAGCAACCAATCCAGCCAATTGTATAATTGGGAAAATTAACCTGCTCTTAATATTAAAATGGGCACAAATAGCTAAATTAAGCTCAAATCAAGCCCCACTAGCCTCAGCCGAAATCCTGGCAACCTTCTCTTCCACAGATCAATCAAAAAATCCTAAAAGCCCCTCAAAAGATTCACTTTCTGCCTGGGAAATCTTCCAAGATGAGATTGTCGACTTTTTTTGACCAGGTCAGCCAAGAAAAAACGGTGAGTGGCAATCTCAAAAATGTATGAGGAAGTGTCGAATGAAGGTGTGGGTGAAGATGATGCAATGGGAAGGGACTCTGGTGCCCTTGCTGTGACAGCACAGTAATAGTTCAAAGAGCCAGCCAGCCGGCCCCTCCAGCGGGCCGCGAGGGCAGGATGTTGTGAACGGAAAAAACTCAAATGTATCTCTTTCCGGTTGTGTGCGTGTGTTCACGTGCACACGCATCTGAGAGAGCAGAGGGCGGGGGGCTTATATTAATCATAAGCTGTCAGGCTCTGGGTCTTGCACTTCAAACGAGATGGTGCAAATCAAAGTGTGTCTCTGGGTCGTGTGTGTGTGGCAGTGCTGCCTCGGAGGGAACAAGCTGAGGATCAGTGCCAGATTTGAACGCCTGCAGTATTTCTGGCTCGACCACAAGGGCATTTTAAAAAACACACGCAACACACACACAGAATAAGAAACATTCCGATACAAACATTAGCATGAGTCCGGCCTGCTAGTAGGACACACACAAACACTCAGTTTGGACTCTCATGCACATATGATGCAGAATAGCCTGCTAAGCTGGCTTTGGACTCCTCTGGCTGTCACACACACTCGCAGTCGGCCATCATCACTCAAGTGAACTCAGCATCACAAGAGCCCAGCCCTGCCATCAGTCAATCTGTCAGCTTACATGCATGTGCGAGTGTGTGTGTGTGTGTGTGTGTGTGTGTGTGTGTGTGTGTGTGTGTGTGTGTGTGTGTGTGTGTGTGTGTGTGTGTGTGTGTGTGTGTGTGTGTGTGTGTGTGTGTGTGTGTGTGTGTGTGTGTGTGTGTGTGTGTGTGTGTGTGTGTGTGTGTCAACTGGATTGAAAGCGCAGATGCCCCAGGTCCTGCTTTCAAAGTGGACTTGAGAGTGGCTGTAAGAGAGAAAGAAGGAGGCTGAAGCCAAATGAGAGGAAAGAAATGCAAAACTCCAAAAAAACACATCTTTGTTCCAAAATATTCTCCTAAAACGTACCATTCCAATGGGTCTAAATCAAAGAAATGGCAAAAAGAGAGTAGTCTGAAAAACCCAAAGGACCTCCTTAAAAACAGAACATAGGGAAAAGGAGACAGATAATGGAAAGGGTTTGTACTATAGATGGAAGTAAGAGATGAGTGTATAAAAAGCCGAGAATGGGCTGAAGAGTGGCCAAGATTGGGTGAATGGGCTGCGAGGAGAAAAAAGAAGGGGAGGGGGGGAAATGTGAAAAAAGTGGGATGAGATAGAGACAAGCTGTGAGTGTGGGAGAGGCCAAATGGATGATGGGAGAGATGAGGACAATGAGATTAAGTTGGAAAAGGAAGAAATAAATAGAGGAATAGAGGCACTTGGAGATGCCTCTCAGGCCTCACAACAAACACACTTTCAGTCTCCCTCCTTCTCCTGGGGGAGGAGAGAAGGTCAGCAGCCACACTCCATAGCCTCTGCCATAGGCTCCCAACATGTGTTATGATAATCAAAAGAAAGCTCAGTCCTAATTACAGAGCAGAGCTGCACGTCAGATGGAAAATCACAGACACTTGCTTCGTAAAACGACTCCACTCTGAGCACCTTGCGGTGAAAAGCTATTAAAGCAATACGCCGATGATGGTGGTGCTCGTTGCCGAAATAAAGACGGGGCTAAAAGAACACAAGATTCTGCTGCTGGCGCAAGCCGTCAGTGCTTTACTGCTTTGCTCGGCTTCCTTTCACTGTCCACCGTGCAGCTGGAGTCTCTGCGCAACAAAGTATCTTCTGGAGATGAAAGCGAAAGGCCCAGTTTCATCATTCAAAATTCAGATGTAGATTATATAATTCAGTGTGGTTCAGTCTTTTGCTTTGAAGTCTGTTTACATTCATTTTTGTAGCTTAAAAAGCAACAAAGGCAGCCTCAATGTTAGTGATGAAGCATTTATGGTACAACAATCTTGAGCAGGAATCAGGACTGGGACCTGAAGACCAATATCTTTTTTGTATGGTTTGTATGTCCATCCTATATGTCAGAAAAAGGACCTCTGGGAGTCTTTCAGGCTCAAATACACATTGAAGCTGATTAGTCACATTCTCTGTCATTTGGAAATGGATCGAAAGATGGATGCACTTTGATGATCTCGAATTGGGAAATTAGGGAAAACCAGAAGTAAAAAATACACAGTAAAGGCATTCATTAACCTCTACAGAGTAGATACACAATATAGAATCAAATAAAAAAAGTTACCCTATATACCCTATAATAGGGCAGCCGGATAACAGTGGTTAGCCTTGGGCAACTCTGTATCTCTAATAAAAGGCACTCTCTGACCCCCAAAAAATGATATGACCTGTTTTATAAAACGGACAAGTCAAATCAAGCAATCTGATTGGTTCTTAGCCGTGATATACTGAGCATATCTCACGGGTAGAGTTATAAGTTACTTTTCACAACAAGTCAGTATCCCTCCGCGTCTGAGAAAAACAGTATGTTGGGCTGAAAAGCAAACTGCTTGCAGTTTGCTTTTCAAACTGGAACAAGAAAGCAGCGCAGAAGTAACGGGGCAGAAACCCTCCTTTTTACACAGCGGTCCAGACATAGACATCA